CACATATACTAAAAGTAGGCAGAATAGCAAAATAAAGTCCCATGTGGCCGTGTCCAGTATGAGGATCCCACAGCCGATGGCCACTGATTTCCTCTTGTCATCCACTAATTTCCATTATTTTGAAGCAAATCCCAGACACATTTTTGTCTGTAGACATTTCAGCAAATATTTCTGAAAGATAAGGATTTTTTTAAACAGAATCACAATTTTATTATACTATACTCCTAAAAAAATCCTTAACACCATCAAATATCTAGTCAGTGTTCAAATTTCTGATTATTCCATACATGTCATACTTCTGTGTTTGTGGGTTTTTTTGTTGTTGTTTGAGTTAAGATCCAAATAAACAGATAGCAATTGGTTGAATGTTTCAAAAAATTTTGTTTTTGTCTCAGAATTTTCCACCATCCAGAATTTGTTAATGTAATAGCTTAATGCGTTCTTCTGTCCATGTGGTTCAGCTAACTTGGTACTCAGAACTACAGGCTTGATCTGATTCTGGTTTGATGTTGCTGGCAAGGCTTCACAGGTGGGGTGTCTTTCCAGCAGGAGGCACATGATGTCTGGTGGAGTCTCTTTGTGATGCATTCACCCTGTGATGTCTAATGCTCTCACCAATTAGTACCTCAAGGGTTGCAAACTGGCTCTGTTCTGGCTCTATTCCTTCTTTCTTTATTAGCTGGGATACTTCTATATAGAGAAATGTTCCCTCTTGTACCCTTTGGATACCCAGTGGTAAAAGACATATGGAAGGCAAAATATAAGTGGTTGGAGTCTGTCCCTTGTTTTCAAATATTGTCTTGGTTCTCTAGCATCTTGCAAAGAGGACCAATTAGATGCTTCTTGTTGTTTGTTCTAAGAATAACTTTGAACTCGTGGATATAAACACGTTTGATGTGTTTTAAATTATTGCAGCTAGTCTTTCTTTTGTTGCTCAATTTGTCTTGTTTCCTGTCAGTGGGTGGTCTATTTAAGTCGACCCTGGGTACCTCTGACACAAGCCTAGCAGTCTTTGATGGTTTCCTTGCTCCTTCTCTAGGTTTCTTGTATACATTTGTTGTCCAGGTCTCTGATCAGTCATTTCTTCAAGAAGCATAGTAGTTTCTCTTAATGGAAACTGGTATCAATGGCCAAAATCTGGTTATTAGGATAAAATGACTCTTGAACAAACACATCAGAGGGCATAATTTAAGAAAACAGGGTTGTAATTGTTGAAAATATATTTGAGCTTCAGACATAGGAATGACGTTAGAAAGTCATTGTGCAATCCCTTTCTTCAACATACCTTTGTCTTCCTTAAAAGTAGACTATCAGAATAGCAATGGGAATGTCATTTATGGTTGGGTACTACCTGCTTCTCTACTTATAGTATCTTCTTTTATTTCTGATAACACAAGGCAAGGTAATGGTGATACTCTAGATTTGTATTACAATTGAGAAAAGTGAAGGTCAGAGAAGCTAAGTAACTTGCCTAAGGTCAAACAGCTAATGATTGATAAACTAAGATTTGAAATGAAGACCTTTAATTTAAAAACACATCCTTCAAAGTGGATTTTCTGTGAAATAACATAAGAAAGTAATTTGGAGCCTGGTATGATAAACAAGTTAAATGCTTAAAGTGGATCCTGGGGTTTAACTTGAAAACAATGGGTGACTCTCACATGACATGACCTTTCCCAGGCTAGTAACAAACCATCCTTCATGCCCTTTCCTTAAGGAGTACGTATCCATCTCCCCTAGGAACTACTGTGAGAGGAACACAATTCAAATGCATGTATGGTGGTGCAGGTGCACCACTTACCTACACCTGGACAGAGCAGTGAGGTGGAATGAGGAGAGCACTGGCTTCTGAGTCAGGCCAGAGGTGGAATCTGAGTCCATTATTTTTCCTGCTGGTCCTTAGCTAAGCTATTCAATGGTTTTTAGCTTTAGTTTCTACATCTATAGCAATGAAATGTTGATAATACCCAGTTTGTAGGCCTTTGACTGGGGTTAAAGTGAGAAGATTGGTGTATGGAGCAGGTAGGACCACTCCTGGCATATAGTCCAACAGCTGGAAGTCCCCTTTTTTGTGCAGCTGTGAGTTATTCATATCATCTCTGTTTCCCTAGGCAGCCCTCGCTATGTGTGTGTATGACTCCTTTAGTCATTTCCGGAATGAGATCGAATTCTGAGAAATAGATGAGAGATTTTGAGTGAGAGAGAGAGAGAGAGAGAGAGAGAGAGAGAGAGAGGAAGAGAGAAAAGCAAATGTGCTATATTCTGGTGATTTATGAGTCATTTGGTCAAGAGGAAATAAAGGATCATTTCAGAAATGTACTATAATTTGCCACTGTTCAGTCATGGTTATTGTATATCTTAAGAATTATATTGTCCTTGTTTTTGTTTTGTTGTTCAGTTGCCACTCCGCAGAAGCTCTTCAGGAAGTAACATTTGTCATGATTCTTTTTTTTTTTTTAATTACAGTCACTATTTTATTTTATTTTATTTTATTTATTTATTTTTTGAGATGGAGTTTCACTCATGTTACCCAGGCTGGAGTGTAATGGCGCGATCTCAGCTCACCATAACCTCCGCCTCCTGGGTTCAGGCAATTCTCCTGCCTCAGCCTCCTGAGTAGCTGGGATTACAGGCATGCACCACCATGCCCAGCTAATTTTTTGTATTTTTAGTAGAGACGGGGTTTCACCGTGCTGACCAGGATGGTCTCGATCTCTTGACCTCGTGATCCACCCGCCTCGGCCTCCCAAAGTGCTGGGATTACAGGCGTGAGCCACCGCGCCCGGCCACATTTGTCATGATTCATAAAGACAATTATTCTGGAATTTCTATTTTATATCAGTTTCAAATTATTTAACTTGGTTATTACATTTTTAAAATTTTAATGATTCTACATTTCTGTTTCTAAAAAAATGTACTCTGGCTCTTTTGATACCTGCCAGATGTTTCTGGATAATGCCATGTTATTTTCTCTGTGTTTTCTCTTTTTTTTCTGCATGTAATCAGTTTAATACACCTTTTTTATTGGCTGCATCTGACCACCCCATCCTCTGAAGTTCGTGGAAGCTCAATTTTACCACTTGTTATGTCCACTGATACCCTTGCAGGGAACAGCTTTGCAATTTGAGATCGCAGGTTCATGTCCTTTGGGAATCTATCTGTGAAGATCCTTTAGCTGCTCTGTATGGTCTGAGGGAATTTGCTTTGCTGGGTGCCCAGAAACTGGCTTGTGTGTAAGCACACTGGCTTTGAGCTGAGGCTCTGCAGGACTTCTATCTTAGAGCTCCCAGCTGCCTGTGAGAGCAGGGCCCTGAGGGTGAGTTCTCAGTGGAGGCTTCCTGCATCATGCACCTGCATCCCAGACAAAGACGGGTGAGCCTCCTAGACATCATTTCCTTCTCTACCCCTTAGCTTTACTATCTGTCCCTTTACAGAAAAAGCCTGTGGACCCCTGCTATAACCTACTGAAGGACTTGCCTTTACTCACTGTTCTGAGTTTCCTGTCCAGCCTCATTTCCTGTCCCCACACAACTTAGAGAGCCCTGCTCCCCTCCAGGGCAGATCTGTATAGATTTAGGGCACTGCTTCTCAGTTGTCTCTTTCTATAGACCTCTGGAGATTTCCTCTACTTTCTTTAGTGCCCAACTATACACTTAAGATGATGCTTATTCTATTTTATTATTAGACAGCTCTGGGGCATATTTAATGGGCAGGCTTTTAGGTTACCCCTTCCACCATACTGCAGGAGCCCTGTCATTGATGTGAAATCATTTTGTTCTCTTGGGAATACCTAGTGATATTCTCATGGGCCATGCTACAGGAGGGTGCAGGGTTCACTGGACTGAGGGCGGGATGTGGGAACAACCGCACTCTGGCCAGTGACTCCTGGTGTGGCTTGGGCAGATCTCTCTCTTCTCTGGACCTTAGTTTGATCATCTGAAAAGAAAGGATGATTGGCATTGATTCTCAAGTTCTTGTGCTTTAAATTTTTCATTTTGATCAAATGCAATTTGCTGTGCTCTAGTTTGCTATATTCTTGCAATGCACAGGGCGCTCTGAGTGCTGGAGAGAGCGTGGTAAGAATGCAGACTCAGCAGCCACCTCATGGGAGCATTCAGTCCATTCAGTGATGAGGGATGGGCCAGCAGACAGTAACAATGCTGGACTTTCAGTCTTAGGCAGGGTGGGTGCAGGGGCGGGGACAATCCAGTGAGCACACTGGGAGAAGCCAGGGGAGGCTCTCCACAGGCAGGGATTTCCCAAAGGAGAACTAGAGTGTGACAAGAATGTCTCCAGGTAGAAAGGCAGGACAGAGTCTTCATGGATATGCACAAGTGTAGGAAAGGCTGAGGGGCAAGGGACAGTTCCACTCACTGCAAGCCTTGGAATTGCATGTGAATGCCTTCAAGTCAACCAGTGAATAGCATCTTAAGTATAATATCTAGAAGCCAAATTCTGCCTGGGCAAAGAACTGGGCACAGTTGGAGGATGCGAGACCCATGTCTGTGTGTCTGTATATCTGTGTGTGTGTATAAGTGTGTGTGCACTCCTTGTAGGAGAAGGGGGCCTCATTACTGCAGCCTCAGTCACTAAGGCTGTGGCTGGGGAACCTGGCTGTTATATGCCCACCCTTTCCTAAGCAGAAAGAGCCAGTGCATCTCCAAGGGCGTGATACAGGGAAGTTGGGGCTGCCTGGTCCAAGCCCACACTAAAGCTGCAAAGTAGAGTTGGGCCCAGGTGTCAGGAACCATGCAGGGATGAGGATAGGGTGGCATCAACTGAGGGGCAAGTGGAGGAGCTTGCAGAGAGATTTTCATGAGCAACATTTGTGGGTGGGTAGGTGGTAAGAGGGCCTGGCAGTATGGCTTCAAGGTGGAAGGTAGTGACTCCTCCCAGGACAACTGAGGACCTGTCTATGGAATAAACACCATAACTGGTTTACATCAGCACATCGGCATGCCATTTCTACTTTACTTACGTACTTGTTTGTTTGTTTCTAGGGCCCTTCTGGACCACCAGGAGACAAAGGCCCCCCGGTACAGTATGCTTTAAATAAAGGGATGAGTTTCTATGAGAGGAATCCCGCTCTATCTAATCAAAGCAATTTTAAATGGGAGGCACCAAAGAGTGAAGTCGATTCTGAAAATTGTTCGCATTATTGAACAGTGCAGACTCTCCAACATTTGAACTCTGACCTATAGAAGACAGTGTGGTGGCTGTACGTACGAGTAGAGAAGGGGTGACCTGCCCATATTGTCATCAGTCAAACAGACTGGCCTTGGTTTTGGGCATCTCCTCAACACAGAAGGGCAGCCATGGTTTAAGGAATTCAGCCAAATTGCCTGAAGAGCTAATTTTGAATCCTGTTTTCACCAATCCCAGCCACACAGCAGGAGCCAACGTGGGGATTGCTGTTAATCTGTAAGGTGGGCAGGGCAGGACCCGGGAGCCACTGTGGAGATCTGGTGGACTGACTTTATGCTGAGCTAACAGGAGGACTCTCAGCGAGCCTTCGCTCTTAGGAGCAGCAACCGTCCATGACATGACTGTGCGTGCATTTACTGGGAAAGTGCGATCTTATGTATCACCCCAGGAGGATGAGCTGCACTGTAGCCACTGGGATGATATTGTACCTATGCCATGTGAATGTATTTTAAATGACCTTTATTTATATGATTTCTGAATTAAGGACAGGGATTTTTTTTTTTTTTTTTTTTTTTTTTTTTTGAGACGGAGTCCTGCTCTGTCACCCAGGCCGAGCACAGTACCGTCATCTCAGCTCGCCTCAACCTCCACCTCCGGAGTTCAAACGATTTTCCTGTTTCGCCCTCCCCAGTAGCTGGGATGACAGGCTCCCACCACCACACCCAGCTAATTTTTTGTATTTGTAGTAGAGATGGGATTTCGCCATGTGAGCCAGGCTGGTCTCGAACTCCTGACCTCAGGTGATCCACCCACCTCGGCCTCCCAACGTGCTGCGGTGACAAGCTTGAGCCACCGCACCCGGCACAGGGATCCTTATACCCATTTTCATAGATGAAGAAATTGAGGCCCTGTGTAATGAACTGATAGACATGAGATTTCAGGGCAAGTTACTGCAAAGCAGAGGCAAGGCAGGTGTGGCTGTAGACAGAGGGTCGGTATACAGAGAGGTCTGTGAAGACCCTGGAGAGGCAGGGTCAGCTCCTGAGCAGCCAGGTAGCGAAGTTCCAGCAACTGCCGGGAATTCCCGCTTTTGGACCTACTTAAGGACAAATCTTCAGGAAACAAGATCCATAGCGAAGCGTCTGTGTCATTTCCCGATGTTGTCCAGAAATTTGCAGCTAGAAATTATTTTCTTACAAGGAGTAGTAATCGCCGGGGCTGTGCTGAGCATCATGCTGGGTCTCGCACAGGGAAACTTCTTTAGCTGCTTAGTTAGAAGCTCTCAGGGCTGGTTATCCACAGGGCATGAGAGGAGTGAGCCAGCGTTTGCACTCAGGCCCATCTCACCACAGAAGCTGTCCCTTTCACTCAAGCAAGGGAACTATGCAAATGGGGTCCCAGTCGTCGGGCTCAAAGAGAAGGTTTTCCAGAGCATTCTCTCTGTGTGCCCAGCGTGTACTTCCACAGCATACAGTCAGATGAGTAAGCTCTGAGCAGGGTGCTTTGGCACACACATTACATCAGATTCCTCGTAGCAACAGACCATGTGTTGAAGGAGAGCCAACTATTGCCAGGGAGGGAGTGTCCTTATTTGCTTAAAATATTGTGGGGTGTCAGTGTCTTCTTTTCTCTTGCTTCAGGGATCACGAGGCTTACCGGGATTCCCCGGCCCCCAGGGACCACCCGGCCGAGATGTAAGTACAGAGAAATGGCATGGACTCAGTGAAGGTTTTTATGTAATCCCTGGAAGCTCACCTCCACCATCTCTGGGCCTTCTTTGACCATGTGGCCAGCTTTGTAGCCCAGTTTAGGATTTCCGGGAAGCCCCATGGGCATGCTTTTCATTTTTGCTCTTCTATTGAGTGTGGCTCGTAACTTTGTATTATCCAGTTTTATTTCCTATGTTTATTTGTGTTACATTTTCAAAATCTTTAAGCTCCTGGGTATCCCACACAATGTTTCTTAATTTCTTGGTCAACTTCTTACATACCTAGCCAGTCAGTTCTGCCCGAATCAGGCATTACCTTCTCTGGGGACTTGTTCCCCACCCTTCCGTGGAATGGCTCTCTCTTTTCCACAGAACTCCAAAGACACATGTGATGCTCATTGTGAGGATGTGTTCCTTCCCACTTTGTGACAGTGACAGTCATCTCTTATCTCCATTGTTTGGCCTTTGCTCAGCTACCACTGAGCTCTAAGAAGGAGCCCCTGTGTCTTATACACCTGGATGTCCCTGGCGCCTAGCAGTGTGCCAGGCACATAGAAGGTACTTAATCCATACTCACTGACCAAATGGCAAATGACAACCATGAGTCCTTAGAGGACAAAGGTGTCTGGCACTAGTAAGCAGTGGTATTTGTTGCTTAGACATGCATCTTTTTATCTCTGCAGTTTTAGTTCATTATAAGCAAGAACAATAAAATCTCCTTCTCTTTTTTGGGTTCTGTTTCCAAAGAGAAGGTTACTGTCTCATTCCTGCTTCCAAATATTCAAATTTTGCTGTTCTGTTCTCAGCATTAATTCTTATAGTCAGTCTAATAGAAGTTTTTGTTTGTCTGTTTGTTTGTTTTAACTTTTCAAAGCCATTCCTTCCACTTGTGTTTGGGAAAGTTTAAGACAGGTTGTGTGTGTGTGTGTATGTGTGTGTGTGTGTGTGTGTCTGTGTGTCTGTGTGTGTCTTTGTGCATGCATGCACATGTTCTGTGTGGATGAGTTGTTTTTAGTTTTGTGTTCAGGACAGGAGTTATGGAGGTAGTTGTAAACATTTGCCATTGTCGTCTTCCCGGGAAGCCTTAGGTATTCAGCTGAGATTGGAAACCACACAGTTTTCTTGGTGCCAATCCCCATGCCCTGATGATTTTTTTCCCACTGAGTTATACTTGGCAGATAGGGAGGTTGGCAGAGGGTGTGAGTAGAGTGGGTCAGGATTGTGTGCTTATCACAGTTAATGTATTCTTTCCTTCTTCTCTTAGGGTGCACCAGGAAATCCAGGAGAAAGAGGGCCCCCTGGCAAGCCAGTATGTCATCTTATGGTTTTGGATGAATATTGACTATCAGTCAGGGCATAAGCAAGAAAAAAAATGCAACTCAGAAGGTTCAAGAAGTTTTAACAAAGAGACATTTGACAAAACTGTGGGCAGAGGAAACTAATATGGGGTGTTGTGAGACCCAGAGATAAACCACGGTGGGAAGTCATTAGCACCATTATGCCTGTTTTCAAAGCCCAGTGAGAGTAGAACAGTGAGGAAGTGATGACAACTAGGAGCTCAGCTGTGGGTGCCACACCGCTACCAGAAAGTGTGACCCAAGGCCCGGAGGCAGGGGTGTCTGCCACCCTCCAGTTTCCTGACAGTGCCTCAAATTGTGAGTCCAACTGCCGGACGGCAGGCAGGCCAGCCCAGGAAACATTCCAGGGGTTTAACCTCCCAGGCACAGAGCAGGATAGAGAAGTATTAAAAAGTGGATCTGGGGTGAGCAAATGAGCAATAGTAGCACCCGTTGCAAGTCCCTAACTTGCCCATTTCCTAGCTCTTGACTGGGTGATGCCAGCCTTCCCAATTGCCCTCTGTTTAACATAGAGGAAACATTCTTTTTTGCCTCACAGTGAGAACAGGGGAATTTGTGAAAGGTTGAGGAGACAGGGACAGCCCTGAGTGTCGGGTCCTTGGCAATGTGGCCTCAGTACAGCCCAAGAGTCCTACAGGCTTCCCTGATGCGAGGCACCCTCCTCTCCTGGGACATCCTCTGACTGAGTTTTCAATGCCAGAGAAGCTCCAGAGGTTTAGCTGAGTAGCCTGGCCCTAGGTGGGCTCTCTAGGGAAGGAGCAGTGGGCATGCACAGGCCTGGGAGAGTGGGAGGCAGCTGTGCAGATGGGAGAGAGAGGAGTCCTTGGGAAAAAGCTGCCTAAGATGGAAGACACAGCAGAAACCAAGACTGGGGAATCTCAGGCCTCAAGAGTGAGTCTGTAAGTCTGGTTTCAGGAAGTGAGATACTCACCTGGGCAGAAGCTTCACCTTAAGATGGATCTGAGAGGCTACCTGTCTCTTTTGCAAGCCTGGCCTGCTACAAATTCTAGACAAGGACCTAAGGCACAGAGGTCCCTGTGGGTGCGGGTGACTCTCCCTCCCTTATCTGAGTTGGTTGGCACAGCAGAGACCTGGACAGGCATCCTGTTCTGCCTTTAAGGGTCCTGACACTTTTCATTGAAGACCCTCCAATGAGAGGAGCGTACAGTCTTGTTGGAGGTAAGGGACACCTTAATTACTCACATTCCCACCCCTGTGGAGTCAGCTTTGCAACAGCCAAATCAACCTCACAGAAGCCACTTCATTACCAAAGTGCAAAGCTCTGGTGAAGTGCAGGGAGAATGAGGTTTAGGCCAGAGACCAAACGGGGGTTCAGATGACCTCTGCCAGAGCTGGGCTTTGTCATCTCCCTGCAAAGATCGTTAAGTCGGCATAGTGCAGCTAACAACGTGCACTGAGAGGCTGAAAAAACAGTTAAAAATGTGGGTTCAGGTCAAGCCTAGCCCCTGCCTGATCCACATGGAAATCTAGACAGTGAATGGAACCACAAGGCTGTCCCACCTTGAGGCCAGGCCCAGGTCTTTTCACCCCACCATCAATCAGTCACTGGCTGTGTAACCAGCACCAGGGGCAAGGATGCACAGAGTGGGGAGGACCTGGGCAGGATGGAAACTGGCACCTACACCCCACGCTGCCCGCTGTTCTCTGAGCCCAACCTGGGCCCAGGTGACACACGTGACTGACTCATAGAAGACGGAGATGGCAGTCTGCCATATCCAGTCCACCTTCACAAGGCCACCGCCTCCATCCACATGCTGGGCCTGTGTATCTTTTGAGATGTATGAGGTTTACGGAAATGAGTCACAGCAAGATGTTAATGAAATTATATCCAAGACGACACTGTACCTAGACTGAAAGTCCACTCCTCACTCTCTCTCCCTTTGTAACTGGTGCCCAGCCATTGTGTCTGATATAATTCACTCTAATTATGCAAAGGGCTCAATGGCAGTGTAACAATATCCCTAGTCATACAATGCCAACAGCATTAAAATGTACCAATTTAAACCATATGAACCCTTCCTATTATTAAGGTCCCAGGAGAAACATACACAGCTTCAAAATAAAACACCTCTCCCTTTTAAGAGTTTTAATAAATTACTATAGCAAAGGTTGCTTTTTTTTTTTTCCCCAGAAGATCTCACTCAGATAACTGAGGGGTCTTGGCCTTGGCTTTAGCAGCTGCAGCCTAAGTGAGTTCTCACTGCAGGGCGAGCAATTCCCTGAGCACCTCCAATCTGATTTAATTCAACCGCAGTCTCTCTTAGGGAATCCCCTCTCTCAATAGCCCAGAGCATTGATTGAATTTCTGAGCATATCAACGTAGAAAACACCACCAGCACGTTTCAAGCCACTGCAGCAGTTACCCTGAGCAAACTTATGTTACCACTGTCCCATGGTTTTGCTAGCCACAGGATGAGACAGAAAACTCATGAGGTCCGGGATGGGGAAATAGCCAGAAAAATTGCCTTGGTTTCAGCCTCCCCAAGATGACTGACTGGATTTGTAATTCATTCACCTAAACTCAGTGAGAAGAAATCGCGCCCCATGCATTTAGTTGCTAAGTCTACCATCTTGCCTCTGCTGCCTGGGTCCTCTGGTATTCCTTTATCTTTGCAAAATTTAGAATTTTGCAAAGTAGCGCACCAGTCTTGAAGACTTACCTAAAAATCCCTTCTTTCCTTTAGGGTCTGCCTTTTAATTTCCATTTCCCTTCCTAATCTTATGTTCCTTGCACCCAGATGGTTTCTAAGCCTCCAGCCCATCTTGAATCCCAGGATGGCCATGATTGTAAGGGACACAATCATAGCTCCAACTCACAGTGGGCTTGACTACCTGTGGACTCCTACATACCTTTAGAAGCTCTGTAATTACTCCTGATTTCTGAAAAACACTTTCTGGAATTAAAGACTTTTAACCTGTAATGAAAAATGAAGTTTAAAATGCTACTTCACCTTGGAGAGCTGAAGACATTGGCTTAAATTCATACTAGGTTGTGAATGACTGATAGCAACAGCTGTCACTCATTTGGGATATCCATGACAATCCAGATTGCAAAGAGCTGGCTGCCTTGCCTCCCACAGTACTCAAAGGGCCTATCAGGTTTTGATGGTGGTGGGGAAGAGGGACCACCAGGAGAAGAGAAGGGACAAACAGAAGGAGAGTAGGGATGAAAAGGTCGAAGTCAGTCAGACGCGGCCAGGACTGGCAGCCTGCACTATTGCTGTCTTGGAGGAGTCATTTCTGTGGCTCCCAAGCTTGGGACATCCACTGGGCTGTCTGTGTGCCACACGTGGCACACTGTGTTACGCATTACGCTCACACTTGGAAGGTCTTTTGCTTTCTGAAGCTGCCTGGGATATACTGTGTGTTTGCATGTATGTATATGTGTGTTTCTTTTTACTTTGACAGGGCCTCTCTTCACTACTGTCTCCAGGGGACATAAATCTCTTGGCTAAGGTAACAGCATACAATAAATGTGCACGTGTTTTGAAAATGGTGATGGTGGGATTGGAGATCTTGATAATAAGTTTGGGTGTTTTTTTTTTGTCTGAGCAACTATTTTGTATTGAGAACTCACCATGTGGCTGGTAATGTGCTAAATCCACCTGTCCAATACAACAGCCACTGGCCACATGCTTCCATCTAAATTTAAATTAAGTAAAATTAAATACAGGCTGTGCACAGTGGCTCACACCTATAATTCCAGCACACTGGGGGGATCGCTTGAGTCCTGAGCCCAGGCGTTTAAGACCACCCTGGGCAACATAGAGAGACCTGGTCTCTACCAATTTTTTAAAAATATATTAGCAGGATGTGGTGGCATGTGGTCCCAGCTACTCAGGAGGCTGAGGTAGGAGGATTGCTTGAGCCCGGGAGGTGGAGACTGCAGTGAGCCATGGACATGCGACTGCACTCCAGCCAAGGTGACAGAGCAAGACCGTGTTTCAAAAATAATAAATACATGAATAAATGTAATTAAAAATTCAGGTATTTGATTATACCAGCCTCTTTACACATAATTAATAGCCGCTGTGGCTGGTGGCTGCCTTATTGGGAGCTGCAGACATAGAGCAGCACATTATCTTGAGCTGTGCTGCACTAAATGTTTACTGTGCCTCCCTTATTTAATTTTCACACTATCCTGTGGGGTCAATACTGTTTGTGGTGGTGTTTAGCACATAAGAAGCCTGAAACATTGAGGGTCAGTGAATGGAATGGAATAGAACAGGACATCCTAAGAATAAAATCCTTCCTCGCTGACACCAGAGACTGGCCTTTAACTTACCCAGGACTAACTCGTGTTCTCAAAGAAGGGCCAGTGGCAGAGTCAAACAGCCTGTGCCTGGTCCTACTGGGCGAAGACCAGAGCATAGGCTCAGGGAGGTGACGTGGGCTGCTGGGCCTTTTAGCCAGGACAAACGCAGATGCGAGCGCAGACTTGACTGGTTTCTAGCCTTTGCTTTCCCCACGAGAGGAAAAGGTCCTGAGAGGTTGAACATAACTTGGCCGAGATAGCACAGGGAGTGGCTGGAGTTACACCTGAAGGTTAAGTTGCACAGGTGCCCAGGTGCCTGACTGAGGACCTGGGGCCTTAAACATTGGGAGCTGGGAAAGGTTGTGAATGAGAGAGGGAGAGGTAGGGTCTGTGCTTCAGAAAGAACAGGCGTGCTGCAGTGAGCGTGGAGGTCCCTTCTGCTGTCTGTGCTTCAAGCCTCTGTCGCAAGCCCAGGTGAAGGTCAGCACTGCAGATTGTGTGACTGGCCTCTTCCTTTCCTCTTGTTCTCTAAAAGACACTTGGGTGATTTCAGAAAATACCTAGTTCATGCATGAGGCCAAGGGAGGAAAACAAAAGAAAAAGAAAACCTTCTCTAAAGTCAGGGATGTTTAATCTCACTGCACATTGAGATGCCTTGATGGGAAAATTATACATTTTATTAAAAGTAAGTAGCAGAACAATCTTTACCAGTTTTTATTGACAAGTGCGATAGTTTTTTTCCACAGTCGAGGACATGACAAGAAATCATTATCTATTGATTCAATCCTTTGTTTATTACAGGCTTTTATTAGCCTAGATTACAGTATTTTTCATAATTTCCTCACTCTAGAAGGAGCTTGGTTTTCATCAGCCACCAGTCCTCTCTATCCCCCTTCACCCAGAGAATTTCAACCTCATCATGTCCCAATATTTATGTCAATAATATGAGTGAGTACTGAAATGGCTAAGCATCATTCCTCGTGGCCAGAGCACTGAGACAGATATTTAGTCAAATTGATATTTCCTCACTATGAAAGGATGCAGCTGTGCTCGTCAGAGCAGCTGGAAACCCCAGAGGAAAGGCAAGTTCCTACGTGCAGGGTGTCCTGTGGAGACTCACTGGTCCCACAGAGCTGAGCTTTGCTGGAAATTCTATAGCCTGGGATGAGTGGGTTTGGCCAGGTCTAGGGATCAGGCTGTCTTTATCTCCCTGTTTTGTGAAGTCACTGGCTACCATCTCACTGTTGTAAGTGAAAGTCTGCTGGTCTAGTCTAGCTGTCTCCCTGCTGAAGAAGAGACATCTTGTATTACAGAATATTTGTCTCTGCCCCAGAGAGTTTTATAATCTCATATATCTGTTTCTGATTGTTGGAGAAATGACTGGGTAGTAAGTTCTAAGAGTCTATTAGATGAATATCCATAGTTGGATCTGTGCCCAAGGAGAGCATCTTAAGATTGTCTTCATTACATGACTCCCATGCATAAGTGTTATTACATTAAATCCTCACAAACAATCCTGTGAGTGGGTTCTATTGCTGTCTGCATTTTACAGATGAAGAGGTTGAGGCATAGATAGGTAAGCCACTTTTTCAAAGTCAGGCATTTTCCATTCATTGTCTCATTTATCATAAGACTTTAACATCCTATTTCACAGATAAGGAGACTCAGAGAGGTGAAGCCATGATTCCAGGTGGACAGAGGCTTAAGCGGAGTATGGGCAAGCCCATTTGGTTGGAAACACAACCCTATCCGGTCTCAGTACATTCAGAGAAAGTGTGAATTGCCCTCTGAGCTGGGGGTTGGTGCAGGTCAGGAGGGACTGGGTGTCCCAGGAGCTCTGGAGCAAAGGTGAGCATCAGTAAGACTGCAGATTGGGGATGGTGTCATCCTGTGCTGCCTGGATTCCAGAACTGGGTCAGTATGTTGAGCGTAGCTCCCTTACTGGTGATTCTGGATCCCTGACAGCTCTGGCCTTCAGGGAATAATCCTGCATAGTGTGTAGCAGGCCCAGGTTGAGAGCCCTGCCAGAAAGTAGAAAGAAATAAGAAATTTGTAAGATTTTGTATTATTCAGATATAACCTTTTAATATTATGTATTCCACTGCAAAGAATGGCTTCCAATCACCAGGGCACCCTTCAAGTCCAGAAATATCTCAGTGGCTAGAATTTTTGGTGTCATCAGGCTAGTTGCATTCTCATCCATCCTTCCAACCATCCGTCCATTCATTCATTCATCCGTCCATCCACAGTTGCAATGTTTCATGGAAGCATCTCATCTTAGAGTGCTATAAGAGAAAATCTACAAAGAGGTGAGCTCCTTCCAAGCAAAATAGAGCTACCAAAGCAGCTCATCTAAGTAAGCTGAGTATCTCGTTCACCCTTGCTTTATATATCCCAATAGTTAACACTTCCCATCCTCCAAATAATCCCGTCAGCTTTGCAAGCCACCCACTAAAGGAAGATGACACAAGTCACCAGAATGCCAGGTGGACAGTTAATTGGATGGTCAGTCAGTCAGTTGGTTAGTTGTTTGGGTTGCCTCATTCATTCATGTATTGTGCTCAGGCTCTGTGGAAGAATATTTGCTGTGAATTTGGCATGGGCAGATAACTCTACCCCTGTCCTCTCAGTGTTTACACCTTCTGTTTGCCCGAGAGAGGATGGAATATACAGACCATTCCAACAAGGAGACTAGTACTTCAGTGGTGGGGATTCCTGAGATTCCTGGGAGCAGGAGGAGCCTGCTTGCATCCTGAGACAATCAGGAAGGCTTCTTGAAGGTGGAGATTTCTAAAGAGTCTCCAAAGACTAAGTAGGCGAAACAAGTAAAAGGAAGGTAGGCTATTCAGAGATGCTTTTGTGATGGAACAACTTTACCATCATGAATTCCAACACCAGGATGAAAACTAAAGCACCTGAAGCTTCACCTCATGGACCATGAACAGTGTAGCTTCCACCTGTTTTTGTTGGTCCCTTTGGTGGGACTTTCAAGAGACCATAGTTAGTGCATGTATTTGTGTCCATTGACAGCATTGAACCCAGAGCTCCTCAAGACACACATTTACTGTGGTTCTAAACTTAGCACAGTGCCTGACACATCGTAGGTGCTTTTCAAGTATTTTTTCAATGAATGAGTGACTGAGTGAATAAATAACAATAATGGCTAAGTGTGTGGGCAATATCTATCTGTCTGTCTATCTATCTATCTATCATATCTATCTATCTATCTATCTATCTATCTATCTATCTATCTATCTATCTATCTATCTATCTATCATCTCCATCTATCTATCTATCTATCTATCTATCTATCATCTATCTATCTATCTGTCTATCATATCTGTCTATCTATCTATCTATCTATCTATATCTATCTATCTATCTGTCTATCTATATCTATCTATCTATCTATCTATCTATCTATCTATCTATCTATCTATCTATCATCTCCGTCTATCTATCATCTATCTATCTATCTATCTGTCTGTCTATCTATCTATCTATCTATCTATCTATCTATCTATCTATCTGTCTGTCTATCTATCTATCATCTCTATCTATCTATCTATCTATCTATCTATCTATCTATCTATCTATCTATCATCTCTATCTATCTATCTATCTATCTGTCTGTCTATCCATCTATCCTGAGTATTCTAAGTGCTTTACCTGTGTTATCCATTAAACGTCTATCACAAGGCGAGAGGCAGGTTGGATGAGAGGGAGGATTAGAGAGAAGGGCAAGGAGGAAGCAAATCAAGAGGAAGGTGGATGGGGCAGGCTAGAGTACAGTCAGGTGAGTTTTATTTGGTGCATAGTGTGCTTTCAACTGTAAGATCTAGAGATGACATGGACAATTCAGAAAGCACATGCTCTGGGCTCAGAGCACTTTAAATTTACTTGAGGAGCAGTATTTATCTGCCTTGAAGTAGAACAAAGCCCAACTCCAGGGAACATTTATTAAATGCTTACCTTGGGTAAAAAATAAAGCTAAGCATGGTCAGAGCCTGGATGTGTCACAGGAACAAAGTCCCAAGGGTGTGTGCCTGTTGCCTTGTTTATCCTTATTCCTCGATCAGAAACCACTTGACTTAGACGAACGCAGAACAGAGAATTCAGCTCCCAACTTGGTCTCTAACATTAGGGACAGTGCCTGCTATGTTTAGTAATACTAAATGTTTGTATTAAATCTGCACTGTTAATGTTTTTAGATGCTCACAGATCATTTTACATGAATTTTTGACATAATTTCCTTAGGCGGTGATTCCAGAAGTCTGGGTGGAAGTTTGGAGACATGGAGAAATATCCAGATATGTCAGTGCTGAAACCTAACTTTCAATTAAGAAACAGATAAGGCAAAGTTTAGACCCAAAGTATCTGGATTATGACTCTGTCCACCTATTTGCTTTTCCGTCTTCTCTGGCATTTAAAAACAAAATCTCCATCTGGAGAGGTAGCAGCCAGGGCTACTGTGCTTTGCTTTGTAACTATTTGCTATTCATTCTCGGCTTGTCCCTCCCTCTCTCCACTCTCAGGATGTGTGCAATGACTGCCCTCCTGGCCCCCCAGGCCTCCCTGGTCTACCAGGTTTTAAAGGGGACAAAGGTCTCCCAGGAAAGCCAGGGAGAGAAGGCACAGAAGGAAAAAAGGTAAGGAGAAAGGGGAAACTCGATTCTTATCATTAAAATGAAAAGATCATTCTGGAGATCCCAATACGGCCCCTTCTGTCTCCAGAAGTGTTCAGCGTTTGAGGGGTTCAAGATTCAAGATAGATGAGGAGTGCTGGGTTGTGGGACACAACTATAGAAGTGGTAGGAACTGGGTATCTATGGGTCTTTGTCACTTTAGGAAGATGTTGATTGTGACTTTCCGTTACATGCTGACACCTGGAGACATACTCTCATTCAGTTACATTTCTTTCCTCCCTGTCTTTCTCCCTTCCTTTCTTTTGCTGTCCAACAACTTTTGCCTATCTACTATGTAATAGGCACCAAGATAGGCACTTCAGATTCATAGATCAATCAATGGATCCATCCATTCATGCATGCATTCGGTCCCTTGTCATGATCTGTTTATGACACCCCGTTACGTGTGTATTACATGTCAATCAACATGTAGACACTGGGAGGTTCAGAAGAAGAAGGCTGACACCCTATTCTAATGGAGCTTATGGTCTATCCTGGAGCAAAACAGAGGTAGGGAGTTTCATGGGTGCTGGGGAAATAGGCTTACAACAAAATCTCATCTCAACCCAGATAATTTCTTCACAAAGGTAGAAGAGAAAGAAAACAATTTTAATATTGAATTAAATTGAAACTAGCATATAATGTGCATGACAGACAATCTGTTAAGAGAAGGTAAGGACAGGAAGAACTCTCAGTGTTTTATATAGCCAAGCAGGTAAAGTCCACGGAAGACGTTTTCTCAAGATAAGCAATAACTAGTCCGCAAGTAAGAGGTCCTGACAGTGCTGTTTGTCACGTATGTTCATCATAGATTCACCTGGTAGTTCAGATGGCCCTCTGTCTTAGCTAATTGGCTTTATCCAAAGTGAAAATCATCTTTTGGTATCTTTATGTCAAAATACAGTTTTGCAACTTGGGGAGATACCATCCCCTAGAAATTGGGAAATAGAGGTGTATCTTTCTTGCTGATTATTATAGTTCACAGAGATGGATCCTAACTCCTAAAGAAAGGCATTCCTGGGTCATCAAACTGAAAAAGAAAGCCTTCTTTGCCTTTTAAAAGGATTTACGCACATGTCAAAGAAACAGATAAAAAACTGACAATGATCCGTTTTCTAAAGCAAATGCTTTAAGGAAAAGGCTTAGGTGAGACTCTCTCTTTTCAAACAAGAGAATTAAGCCTCTTATTTGTAATTTGTATTTTACCCACACATGCTACTGGGAATACAAACACAGACGTGAAAGATATCCTTTATTCTGACTCTCTGAGCCTTAAGCAGTGCCTGTTCCCTTTCCACAGACCCAGCTCTGCAGGATATTTGAGTGTAGACTCCACGGGTGTGCCACGGTCCTTGAAATTTCTCCAAATGCTCTGGAACCCTCGAAGGGACAGGGGCTGATCCTAAAGCTAATTTGACTAAGAATAATTTGGCCTAATTAAATTCTCCTGATGATCAACTTATTAAAAACGGGCCTTTATTTCATTTGCAGCATTTCTTGTATTATATGGTATAGTAAACAAACACATTTGAATGTTCTTTCATCCGTGTCATGGGTCTTTCCCATTGCCTTAATTTTAAACAGCTCAAAAGATCATTTAGTTCATTAAGATAGGTGGGTCTTTGGAGTTGATTCCAAAAGTCTTAACCTCGAAGATTCTTGATATCAGTGCAGAAGCTTTTAGGGGGCATTTCTAAATCACTTAGGGGGATGTTTAGATCAGTCTTTTCCAGGCCTTTCTACCAAGTTGCTTTGCATCAAATCATTGGGATATTTATTATTTCAAATTTCTGGATCAGGAATCCAGAAGTGGCTTTTCTGGGTTGTTCTGGCTCAGGTCTTTCATGGGGCAACCCTCAAGCCCAGAGCTGCATTCATCTCAGAGTCTGTCTGGCAGAAGACCCTCTTCCAACCAGATTCACTCTTGTGGCTGTTGACAGAGACCTCAGTTCCTTACCACGTGGGCCTCTGCAGAGCTGCTTGAGTGAGATCAAAACACAGAACCTGGTTTTCCCCAGAACGATTGGTAGGATAGAAAAAGTACAAGTTTGCAGGGGGCCGGGCAAGGTGGGAGTAAGCCATCTTCTACCTTGATCTCAGCAAGTATACTGCATCATTTCTGCCATGTCCTGTGGGCCCTAGAGACCAATCCTGGAACAAATGGCAGGACAGCTTCTCCAGGTTACACACATGGGAGGTAGGGGCCATCGGGCCATGCTGGAGACACACCACCTAACCACATCAATGGCGGGTCATGCCACAGTTGCCCAGCTACACTCAGTGCTACCACTTACACATACCTTTTGCTCAAACAGCCTAGGGGCAGGGGTGGCTGCCAAGAAGTCCCAGTGGGAAATCAGTGAATGGAGGTGTGAGGCTCATGGCTCGGTGATGACCCTGGAGGTGGAAGAGACACTCATTCTTCTTTTCTTTTTTTGTTTGTTTTCTGATGTCCCTGCTACAGGGAGAGTCTGGGCCTCCAGGCCTACCAGGGCCCCCAGGAATAGCCGGACCACAGGTCAGTGAGACTTCGTAACCATCTGCATGGGTCTGTTCTGCTCATCTCAATGGTTAATCTCAATTCAAGGAAGAGTGATGTCCATGGTAAAGAAGGAGTGGTTTTAAACCCAGAAAACCCCTGCTGCAGGTCTAAGCATGGCACTATGGCACTGAATCTCTTATTGACCATGGGCAGGTCACTTTAATTTGTGGAGTCTCAGTTGCTCCTTTATGAAAACTGAGTGCTGGAAAATATGAAATGCATGGGAGAATTGGACTGTGTGGGAACTCCTGGTTAAGACATGAGTTTTGTGGTCGGACACCTCAGCTTAACTCCCAGTAATGACAAAAATACAAATGGTGTCAGAGATTTGTTAGAATTGAATTATATGATGCATAAAAAGGACATGGCACTCAGTTAAAAAAAATACTAGGAGAGTGCTTTTTGAATGCAAGTGAACCCTGTTACCCTCATGTGAGTGATACGACATCTACCTAAAAGCAGCTGTGTGGCTCTGTGATTTCCCAAAGCCAGGGAGGCTGGCATGGGAGAAAGTGGGTATAATCTCAACTTCAGAATAGGCAGGGAAGCTCTCTGGCTGTCAAAACAAGTGTTCTGAGGCTGGGCTGTTTGAGCTGTTGGTGGCAGTAGTATTTAGCTCTCAGAAGAAAGTGCATGAGTGCTGGTATGGGGGCAGGTAGACCCCACCCTCATTCCCTTCTGGCTGTCATTGGTGCTCCTTTGGGTGTGCTCCCTTATCTCTCGCTGCTGTAGACTGCACACCTGCCCCACCAACACTCAGGGCCTAATGTGTCCCTGTGTCTCTTCCTGGGGCCTGGTTGGACATAGCATGCCTCATCTGATAGAAGAGGTGGCATAAAATTGTCACTAGGAGGGAAAACTCAGAAGCCAGTCCTTGGGGTTAGAATTCTATCTCAGCTGTGTGACCTTGGGATAGTTTCTTAACCTCTCTGGTCTTTTGTTTCCTAAAGTTAACTAGGGGCTATAAAAGCTATGACCCTACAGGCTTATTACTGTACCAACTGCAGGCAAAATGCTCCCATCAGTGCCTGGTACACTGTATCAACTGAAGAATGACAACATTTGGGTGTTTTGATACCTCAGTTCTTGTCTCCTTGGTTTAAAAGAATTTAAACAAGAGACACACAGCAAAGGAGATGCAGCATTGAGTAATTTATTGCAAAAGAAAAAGAATACTTTGAATGTTAGGGGCAGAGTAGACAGTACACCTGAGAGAGAGAGAGGATGCAGGGCAGGCCACGCATAAGGATGAGATTCCCTTTATGGCAGCCTTACGTGGTTATTCATTAGGAGATGGGAAAAGGCGTTACTCATAAGCATGTTCTGGGCGGTCCTCTGAGTGTTCATGCGCAGTAGCTGTACATGCTTGTTCATATGTCTAGTGTCTCATTAGCACCTTAAATCTCCACCCAGGCATGTTTTTTACTATTATAATGAGCAAAGGGTCAGTTTGAGGATGGGCAAAATCAAAGATAGCTTTGCATGGATGAGCTCAATTATCATGTGAATGCAGAGGCTTATGGTGTTGATTCCACTGTCACCCCAGTTGCTGCATCTTGAGAACATGATTACTTCCTTCACTACCTATCCTGCCTCAGGTCCACAGATTTGGAAAGGAGATCTTTATTTCTCATAGAGGATTGAACTTGCAGGCTGTCCATCCCACAGGCTGGGAAACATAGCCTCCAGCAGAAGCCAAGAGAAAGTGCCTCAAGGGAAAGGCAAAGCAGCAGGAATGTATGCTGAGCCGGTAGCCAGATGTATATATTTAAAAAGCTATAGGAGGAGTCATGAATATTTATGGAAGGAGAAACATGTGCATGGGAAATTGAGTTTCACACCTCATGATGGGTCATGTGTTCAAAAAATGGCAGCATTGGCTGGGCGCGGTGGCTCAAGCCTGTAATCCCAGCACTGTGGGAGGCCGAGGCGGGTGGATCACGAGGTCAAGAGATCGAGACCATCCTGGTCAACATGGTGAAACCTCATCTCTACTAAAAATACAAAAAATTAGCTGGGCATGGTGGCACGTGCCTGTAATCCCAGCTACTAAGGAGGTTGAGGCAGGAGAATTGCCTAAACCCAGGAGGCGGAGGTTGCGGTGAGCCGAGATCGCGCCATTGCACTCCAGCGTGGGTAACATGAGCGAAACTTTGTCTCAAAAAAAAAAAAAATGGCAGCATTATTATAATCCAAGGATGGAGTTTTAAAGTTTTTAAATCTCTTGACATCAAAAGCTGAAGGAGAGGATGTGGAAGGCTTGACTGCACATTCTCTGTGCATTGGCCAAAACTAGTCCAAAGATGGTGGTCAGGCTGGGAGCTCAGTTTTTAAGGATTTTCTGGGTCTCCTTGGCCAAGAGGTTCTTGGTTGGTGAGGGGGGCCTAGGATTTTGTTTTTATTTCTCAATTGTAAGTGCTCAGTTGACTTTAGCTTTTTTAGCCCTTGTGGTCCCAGTGGGCAGCCCCACATTTAGGGTGAGGACTTGGGAATAAAATTTAAGAAGCCAAAAACTTCAACAATCAAGATAAATAGCACTTTCATGCAATATTTTATAAAATTTAAAATTAATGCAATAATTTCATGAGGAACAAAATATCAAAATTTGAAATGAAGACAAGATCCAGCCCCTCCACTTGAATGGCCTACCTAACTCACCTCTGCCTAACATCAGCAGTATTAGATGCCTGTGTTTATTTGCATTTGGATGTTTTGATCATCTTGAATTTTTTAGGTTGACTTCAATTTTTTAAAATATTGCCATGGGGTCAGGTGCAGTGGCTACCACGTATAGTCCCAGCACTTTGAGAGTCTGAGGCAGACAGATCACATGAGGCCAGGAGTTCGAGACCAGCCTGGCCAACATGGTGGAACCCTGTCTACTAAAAATACAAAAATTAGCCAGGCATGGTGGTGCACATCTGTAATCCCAGCTACTTGGCCAACATGGTGAAACTCCATCTCTACTAAAAACAGAAATTAGCAGGGTATGGTAGCACATGCCTGTAATCCCAGCTACTTGGGAGGCTAAGGCATGAGAACTGCTTGAACCTGGGAGACGGAGGTTGTAGTGAGTGAAGATTGTGCCACTACACTCCAGCCTGGGTGATAGAGTGAGACCCTGCCTCAAGAAAAAAAATTTATACATATATATATATATATATATATACACACACACACACACACATATAGTACATATAATATCCATATGCAATATATAATATCCCTATGTTTTATATATGCAATATATATATGCAACATATATACACATACATATATATGTATGTTTATATATGAATATACATATATTTGTATGTGTATATACACACACGCGCACACACACACACACACACACACACACACATATATATATATATATATATTTTTTTTTTTTTTGCAAAGGAATCTTATTTTTCTTGGCTTCTCAACAAGAGGTATTCAGTACCCAAGGTGAGTGATTCACTTTTCTTACCCTAGGCCCAGCCCTAGAAAAGGGTGTTGGCACTGTTATTATGACTGTTAAAAAGCAAGCAAAAACCCAATTAATTCCATGTTGTGACAACAGTGCCAGCCTTGTGGTGTATCGGGATGGAAAACACCCAGGTCTCCCAGACCCTAGCTGGCAGGTTAAAACATCTAGCAGTCCTGCCCCACGGACTGTGAAGATTTAGAGGGTTTTAACAGAGCCAAGACTCCTGCATCAGGAGCTAAAGATATCAGGTCTCAGTGCAGATGGAACAAGAGATTTGCCCAGGGCAGCGTTAGATTGAAAGGCAACAGGAATGTGCAGCATCTTCAAATGTTGGCTCTCCTTACTGGGTATGCTCTCTTTCTGGGATTGCCAGCTGAGGCCAAGCTCCTCACTCTGTAATTTCAGCTGACCCTTAAGTAACCTTTGCTGTCAACCTGCTGGCTGCTGGGGAGGAATTGCCTTTATGTAAAGAAATAAAAGCATATCAATTAAACAGATAAGGAGTTCCTTCCATTAAATATGGACAGCTTTCTCCTTCAGCCCACCCCTGCATGTAATGCTGATGTTTTTAGCAATGGCCCTGCTTTTGTTTCTTTGTAATTTGCTTCAATGGAGGGTTTGCTCCTTTAAATATTCTGAGAATAGAAAGCTTCCGTCCAGAAAAAAGAACAACAACAATTAGTGTTACATCTGAAAGACAGTGGCCCTTGTTGCCTCTGTTAGGAGTTGATGGTCACTCCAACCATGAGAAGTCCTTGGGCATGTGGTCTAACCCTGCATGGGGAGCCCCAGGCAGTTGCTGCCGGCAGGGTGCTGAGCATTCGAAGGAGCAGGTTACTCTCTCCTGCAATGGTCAGCATGATGCTAGGGGGCAGAACTGTCATTTCAGTTTACAGATGAGGAAACTAAGGTTTAACAAGATTAAATGCCACAACTACAAAACTAGCAGGCAGTGTAACTGGGGTTGGTCCCTATTAGTCCAACTTCAGTACCCCAAGTAGTTACTGTTCTGCCATACTCCTAAGTAACAATTGATATCAACACCAGCACCCAGGACAGCTCCTAATGGGGTACAGTGCTTTAGTCTACACTGTATCTGCTAATGCCCCTGTCTGCAACAGCTGCCCCTTATCACCACTTATTGTTGAGAAAATGCATCACAGAAGGGTTAAATGTGCCTTCTGAGGACTCAGTCTATTTTGCTTCTTGGCTTCAAACCCAAGCCAGCTTCTGTACTTGTCATTTACCCTATACCACTTTCCAGAAAATAGACAGAAGAACTGTCTCACTTCCTCTCTGTTCAACTTCATTTATCAAACAGTATCTCCGCTAGACTTGGGGATGTGAAGATGAATCTGTAAACTGAAAATACTACCCCTGATGGAGTACTTAAGATCATTGTTAGCGTCTTTTCATAACCAAAGGCTCTGGGCATTCACTCGTCTCATGCACTGCCAAGAGGGCTTGGTTTCTTTGTTTTCAGCATTGGGGAAGCAGCCTCCCCAAGATTTATCTTATAGATGTGCATCTGCTCTCTTCAGTGGCTGTCACGAGGAAGTTCACGCCACACGGTCAACTAGAGAGCTCAATTCTAGGACTTTGAACTCACATAAAACCCTGACTTTAAGATATAAGATCTGGAAATTGTTGCTGCAGTTGTGATTATGATCTGTGGAGAGGAGGCAGAAGGAACAAGACAGTAATCACTGTGATGACCCTGGGAGCATGTATTCTACAGAATCAGATGTAATTGCCTTGCCTGGATTGGAAATGATGACTATTCTGTCACCTACAAAAACCAACATTTTTGTTTCCTTCTTATCACATGTTCACCAACCAGTAATAGCACCTAAAGAGGGCCGGGAATGGGCCTGGAGATACCCAATGAGCAAAAGTCCTCATTTGGAAGGTACAGATGACTCTGAGGAGGCAGAAATAATACCTGCTGCCATTGGCAGTGCCAGAAAAAGCCCTGGGATTCCCATCCTGTCCAGAAAATAACCCAGAGTCACTTACTCCATGTTCTTTCCCAGAGCAGAAAACTGTTCCCATCCATAACTGCCACAATTCTGAAAAAGTCTTACAAAGTATCACCTTAACAGTTTCCTTTCAAGTCAGGAGGTATATAGAGAGATTAGATATGGGTCCTTCCTTCCACAGCCTGATGCTGTGACAGAAAAGAAAGACACACAAGCTTGCAGCAAGCACTTAGGAATGTCTGATGAAGGCTGGAAGCCAACAAGAGCCATGGGCACAAGCCTGGGCTCTGGAAACCAGTGGTCCCCAATGTGCCCTTATTAGCTGAGTGAATTTAGCTTGCTAATTATAGGGCTTGGGCTTTTATTTATCTGAATCTTGGATCCCTCATCCGTACCTTGGGTTCCTCATCTGAAAAAGACCTGTACAACCTGTCTCATAACAAGGATGCAAGAACTAAAGAAGGGTGAATTTACAAAGCATGGCATGTAGGAAGCATTTAATACAGGTACCTGCAAGTGGTCCTCCAACCACAACAAATTGTCAGGAGAAGAGTAAATGACTTAAAATAAAAAAGAACACCATGGAACAAGGGGTAACCTGTGAAGGCACCTGGAGGAGGTAGGATTTTAGTTGCATTGGAGAGTTAATCAGGAATTTACCAGCTATCCCTGGAGAAAGGTTTTCCAAGCAGGACAACAGCCTGAAAAGTTTGGGAGCAGGGTATGTTCTGAGAGTAGCAGAGAGTTACTAACTTGGGAAAGTTTAGTCCCTGTCCTCAACAGTTTGAAAACCTTTTGATAAAATTGCCTGTTCAGCATATTCATGAAGGACAGCACTCTTACAGCAATTCCTGGTATGAATGTAACTTCCAAATAATTGTTTTATCATGTGCTTAGCACGTGATGATCCTGGAAAAAATTTAATTAAAAACAGAATCTCCTCCAAACTCAGAGAGGTTTTCCATGAACATAGAAGAGAAAGAAAACAATTTTATCACCAGAATGTGATTTGCATTACAGGCAATATGCTAAATGATTGCAAAGACAGAAAGGAATCTTACTTTTAGATAGCCCCTCTGGTACAACCACCTATCACTACATGTTGTTAAGATAAGCAGTAGCTGGTTCTCAAGTAAGAGGATTTAGTGACATCACATGTTCTTTCTAGATTCACATGATAATTGCAGTGGTCGTCTGTATGTCTATATTAACTAACTGCCCTTATTCAAAGCAAAGCTGAACTTCTTACATCTTTATGGAAGGAGATAGATTTGAAACTTGGAGTCAGGCATCTGCTGAAGTTGGACTTCTACTGTTTCACAGGAGCTGCGAGATAGGAATGCTATCTTCTTTGCTGATTCTATTTCAAAGAGATGGTTCCTAGGTCCTTGAGAAAAAACATTCCTGTGTTCCTGGGTCACAAGGCTAGCAAAAGGCTCATTTAGCTTTTAAAAGTATTGACATATCTTTCAAAGAGACCCCCCCCCAAAAAAAAACCCCACAAAAACAAAAACAAACCTCACAATTAACAAGTTTTCTAAAGTAAATGTTTTCAGTAAACAGAGTAGGGCAAAGTTTTTCTTACTTTCAACAGGGGGAATTAAGCCCTTAAAATAGCTCTTTAAGAGGACTAAACTAGCAAAATAATGAACTGATAATCTCCCTGGAATATGAATTCCCAGTGGGCATGGTATTTATGTATTTCATTGATTATTGTATCTCCAGTGTATAGAAAGGCGTCTGGCTTATGCTCAGCATGATCAGTCAGTCTTTCTGATTATAAATCCAGTACCCTTGACATTTTGAAACCACTTGGACAAGGCATCATGGTCTAGGGAAATAGCTGGAAAAGTAAAATGGGCAGAGAAAGCCAGCTTGGGCATCTGATCATGAGACAGATGGATGTGGATTAGATTCCCGACCTTGCTTTCTATGAGCTGTGTGAGCTCAGGTGAATGAGGGAACTGGTCTGGTCTTCAGATTTATTATCTAATACTCTGATAATAAGCCCTATCTCATAGAGTAGACTTACTGATTCAGTAAGAGAATATAGACATATTAAATATTTTTGCATCAGTTCAGGATATAAACAAGGAAATACATGTAATGGGATATCATGTGGGAAGCCTTGGCAGAGTTCCTGGAAGAGTCGGGGCTCTCTAAATGTCAGCCCCCGTCTCTGAAAGGAAATGAGTCAGGCTTGGGGGTGTGTATGTTTGCCTTGATCCCTGACTACGTTGGAGTAGGAGAAAGGGACAACTGTGGAGATCCTTGAGCTGCTGACATTTTCATTGTTGCTACATGGGTGTTGAAACTACTCTAAACCCAGACTGAGGGCTGGAATTTCGAAGGAAGCCACTTACTTTTAAGGCAGTTGTCCTAAATGTTAAGGAAGCAGTGGGCTCTTCTATGTCATTTCTCTTCGTTGATTACAACAGTGCATCTGCAGACAGGCGCACTGGCTTTGTTTAGATTTAGAAACAGTGAAAATAATTCCATGCAAAAACATCAGAAGAAATGCTCCTTCTCTCTGACTCCATTTTTTTTTTTCTCTTCTAAACAATGATATTTAGCACTTCATAGATATGAGCTCACCTAACCCTCCCATTATAACACAGGTAGAGAGTGAGGATTAGTATGTAGTTACTGTTAACAGTGGTCTGCTGAGGTGGTAGAACAGTCTAGATTGAAAGAGGGCTGGACTTGATGTTTCCATGAGAGAACTGTGGGGTTCTGGATCCCTGGCAGGACCCTCCTAGATGGACCTGCCCCTCATCCTTTATTTACTAGAGGAGCAAACTGAGACCAGAGAGGATAGAAGACGTGATATGCTTAAGAATGTAAAGATAAAGGGCCACAGGCATGGAACCACAGCTAAGATTGACCTACTGCCACAAACCTATTTACTGCATAAAATATTGTTTTAAAGGAATTGAATTGTTTCTGTTTAAAAACATTGTGCACTTATTAACACAGTAAATGCAGAGCTAAAGTAGAAAACAGTTAAAGGGTTGGAACCTTTGGATGTTACTTTCATGGGTAGTCTGTAAAAAGTATTTTTTAGCAGGTTGTATGTTTTGAGCATCTTGGCCATGATGATGACAATGACAATGGCGATGATGAGGATGATGGTTATGATCACAGTAGTGGTGGTGGTGATCATTATGCAGACAATGACAGTGATCATGATAGTGAAGATGAGGATGATGATGGTGATGGTGGTGACAGTGATGATACAGCTCTTGTGACAGTGGCTGTGGTCATGATGGTGATGGAATAATAATGATGGTGCTGGTAATGATCATGGTGATCATCATGGTGATAATGACCTGCGGAATCCTGATAGCTAATGTTTATTGAGGGCAAACACACATCCCATCCTAAGACTAAGCACTTTGTATATTTTAGGTCATTTAACTCTCACAGTAACCCCATGACAAAGATATTATTTTATCATTCTCATTTTGGAAGAAGACAGAGAGTTTAAGTATCTTGTCCAATGACACACAGTTAGCAAGTGGCAAAGCCAGAATTAAAATGCAAAATAATAAAGATAATAATGATAACTAAGATTTATTGAGCTTTTACTGTGTTCTGGCCTCTGTGCTGTTTCCCATCTATTATTTTATTCTCTAACATTTCATGGGATAGGCATCATTATTTTCTTGTTCTTGTAGGTAGGTTACAAAACTCCTCGAAGTCTCACAGCTAGTAAGGGAGGGAGCAAGAATCTTATGTCTGGATAAATTCTTCCAAAGCTTCCTGTGTTGTACTGCTGCTCTTGCCTGCCACCATCTAAACTTCTCCTTCTCCCTTACCCTCACACCCCTTCTGCAAGGCCTGCAGACCCTGGGTTTATTCTGCCTCTTTTCCTGCCACACCTGGAACACCCCTTTCTTCTAACTGACCCTTTTTTCTATAGCCTGTACCACTAGCATATCCCACATTACACCCACAGCTAGAACCTAGGACAATTACATATCTTTTTAATGGTTTCCAATGCCTACAACTAACTCTAACATCAGATGTTGACATGCAAGGCTCTCAAAGAAATGAGCCCTGCCTACCTCCCCAGCCCCATTTCCTGGAGCCCCATACCCCAAATCCCAGTTAAGCCATTTCATCAACACATCCTCAACTAGGCCCTGTTTCTATCTGCTGCCACCGTACCTGAGCTACCACAGGAAATTGATAAGAGGTTTTGGGGAATTAATGAATAGATGAATGAATGCATAAAATGCTTTTTGTTTCTCTATTAAAATTTCCGGTGAAATCTCTTTCTTTTCTTTTTTTCCTTTCAAGGGAAGTCAAGGAGAACGTGGTGCAGATGGTGAGGTTGGACAGAAAGGTGATCAGGTAAAAATTTACTCTATAAGGAACCATTCATCCCAAGGAAGGATCACTGTTTCTCCAAGGCGGCTTCCACTGTACAATGTCATTTCTTGTCTCTTCTTTGCCTGTAGCAGGATTTTTAAAAATCTAGCTTTCATGGTTTTCATCTTGTTATCTCTGGTTTATTGTAAGTCTCCTCTCTCCCCGAATTATCTGAGAAGCCCGCCTTCCCTCCCTCCCTCCCTCCCTCCCTCCCTCCCTTCCTTCCTTCCTTCCTTCCTCCCTGTACTATTTTGCCTTTGTTTCTTTTCACCAAAATGGTAGTTATTCATTACAAAATTCCCCCTTCTTTCCTCCCATCCTCTCAAGTAACTGTTGCCTGGCTCTCTTGGTGCTAGCTGAAATGCTTCACAGACACTCCATGCTCTGGCCAGTGCACATCTAGACTTGCTGGACCACTGTTCCTAGCGTGCTATAGGATGGGACCAATGAGGGCTTGCTGCTCTCTCTGTGGATCTGAGCATGGCCTCCCTATCATCCTCTATCCAGTACGACCAGCTGATTTCTGCCCATTCCAATTCTACCAGCCTTCCTGCCAATGGAAATGGCTGTTATCCTTCTGCTTTGCTGCTGTAACCCTTTTCCCTGTTCTTGTTTCTCTCCTGTCTTACCTGCCGTCCCCCTTACTCCTCCCTCTATTCTGCATCTCATAGCCAGTGCTCATTGTAAGCCAATTCCATGCCAGGCGCTGCACCTGGCTCTGCAATCTGGAATGAGTCATGGGCAAGCTCCTGACCTCAGTGGGCTTGCTGTTCAGTGAGGGCGGAGGCACATGAACGAGCAACACACAGGCAGTGAGATGAGAGCTGTGCTCAAAGTCTGAATGAACTCCTCAGCTAAAACCTCTTCTGTATTTGGAAAAACAAAATGTATTTGGATTATTCTTATAAGAATGAGTTATCAAAGGCAATGTACTCTACATTGAATGCTGCAGCCTGAGGTTTCAGTGGTAAGGCTTGGAGGCGGAGGGCAGAGAATCATTTCTTTCATGGTGGTTTGTTTGGTTTCATAACATTGTTCTACAAGGCTAAGTGCTAGATGTCAAGCTTTGTTCTATAACTTTTTCAGCTGATTCTATAATATGCAACAGACTCCTCTACACATAGAGAAACAAATCTCTTGCTTAAAATAACTGTAATATTGCCAGAGTATGAAGGCCATAATTCAGTTAGCCTAACCATTTCCATTTTGTATGTTGTGTCTGTGTGCATTTATTTTTCTTTATGTTTTTATTATGAAACGCTTCAAGCATATCTAAAGAATAAGGACTGTAATAAAATGAACCCTTCTGTACCTAGCACGTGACCACAACAGCTTTCAATTATTATGACCCCTCTTGTTTTCATTTATATCCTCAGCCATTTCTCCACACCCCCTGCCCACACATTATTTTGAAACAAATCCACTTTCAGGACATACCTGTTTTTATAAATATTGTCAGGTAGTATCTCAACCTATTGATATATAAAAAGAGGTCTCTTTTGTTGTCAGTGTCTTTAACCGAAATTGTTAGTGGGGTTAGAAAGTGGATCCTGGATTGTTTCCTGAAATTTGATATTTGTGCAAAGTTTAAAAAGTGTTTTTCGGTCATTTGAAAGAATTGTGTCTTGTGTTTTCGTAGGGTCATCCTGGAGTTCCAGGTTTCATGGGGACCCCAGGGAGCCCTGGGCCACCAGTAAGTAATCCTCTTTAGTCTCTTCCTCTTGGGGCCTTGACATTTGAATGCACACCTCTACTCACCAGGCCTGGTATGACACTGAACATATCTCTCATTTTAAGGGATGGGCCAATACCCAAAAGGTGGCAGGGATGACCTAAAAATGCAAGTCCCACAGGCATGTGGGGGAAGGTGCAGAGGGTGTGGAGTAGGCTTGATGGACCATGTAATTAGAGTGATGTCGGGACTGGAGGACATCGGCAAAGACAGACAGACTTGCTGCTTCTTTTTGCAAATTGAGCTTGAGTGGGCAGAAAGCCCATATGTCAAGGTTATGATGTCAAACAAAGAAGGTAGAAAATGAGAAATCGTAAGCAGCTTTCCCCATTTTATGGGGAGCCTGTCTGAATGTTATCTCAATGATCTCCACTAGGCCCCCCTGAGCAAATGTTCTCTCTGTTCTTATAGTAGTTGTAGCCTTGATATTGACTGGTGCCCTTCTCAGCATTTCCCTCTCCCTTCAGTGTAGACTGCTCATAGATTACTCATGTTCCTCCTCTGATTGGAGTCCACTGCCGTTGCAGCCCACATATCCATCATGGGTAGCCATGGCAACAGGCACTGGGAATGATTGTCCCTGCCAAGCCCAGGGTCAGTCCCCAGGGATTTCCCATGGGTTCTACATGAGACCCTTGTCCCAGACCTTGCAAGGAGAGGATTTCTGGAATGACTGAAAGACCACCGAAAAGGAACTCCCTTCAAACAGGGAATACCCTGTTAGAAAGTATAGTGAAAAGAGGTTCAGTTAGGAGTATAAATTTAAAATATATGAAACTAAGCTTGCTTTGTCTTCTTTTTAAACAGCTCAACTTCTAGTTGTAACTGTGTGTTAATTAGTAGAATAAATTAAATCATTTTAAGTGAGTATTTTCAATAAAATCATATGAAAGCATGAAATGGCATCTTTCACTTCATGTTGACTTTTACAGCAAACTCATAAAAAGGTGAATTGTCTACAAAAGCACTAGTCAGTTTCCCAGAAAGCCTACTTTAAGTCTTTAATGTTCAACACATTTTCCTCTGAAGTGCCTTTGAAATTAATTTTGTTTTTAATTTCTCAGCCTCACATCTTACCTGGCCCAACTCTGCCATGTGCACATTTGTGAAGGATACTGTAGGGAATTGATCAGTTTGCTGTCGTTTAACTTCACAAAATTCCACAATTCTTTCAAGGTTTATAATTTCACTCAGTCATTGCTTTGCACTGTATATGAATATTATTGGATCTTGTAGCATCTGATAATCAGCAAAAAGAGAAACTGATAATGATGCCGACACAATCGGTAGTAGGGAGAGGTACTAGTGAAGCAAAGGGGGGCATTTGAGAAGGAACTAATTTTACTTAAAAATAGTTTATTCATGAATAGTTTTATATGATGACATTAGCTTCCCTGTACAACTTAACAGCTGAGGTTCTCAGAAAATGAACATTGGATTAACGCCTCATCCCCACTCCGCCCTGGTAGTTCCAAACCCTCTAACATGTTCTCAGTGAAAACAAAACCCCCTTCTCACTGGAAATTGCAGTAAGTTAGAACTCCGTGACTACTGTAGGAAATGCTTCCTGGTTTCTTATTCTCGCGCTAGATGATGAATTGGAGGCTCAGAAACAACCATCATCAGAAGCCAGCTTGTTTGTCTCCAGCTGATTAATGCTTTCAGTTCACTTGGCAGATGTTTACTGAGCTTCTGTTTTGTGTCGTGTCTTGTACTGTTAATTGCCTGTGAGAATGGATGCTGAGGCAGCGCCCGTTTAGGCTCACCAGCCAATCACACAGAAGCAATTCCAGAGCAGAAAATTAACCTTTCTGGTCATGGATGCGTTGTTTTAGTTTTGTTCTTTGTTGTTGTTGCTTGTTTTCAAGCACTTATTAATTGTCAGGCCCTGTTGGAAATATGCAGGGATATGGGTAGTGAGCTGACAAAGCTCTTTCTTTTAGTGCTTATTTTCTGGTGCTCAGTCAGCATCCTTCTTCCAGATAAAACCGTTACTCCATGCGCATATGCAGTAGGGGATTTTATTCCAACTTGGCAAGTTTCCAGACTCTAGGATGCCAGAAGCTTTTTATTAAAGTTATGTGGAACAATTTAGATTTGTTTTATTAGCTTTGACTAGATGTTGAATTCAAGCACGAACCTTAGGCTACTCATTAAAATATTATCATTATCCCTTTATTTTGTGAACATTTACTGGGTCCGTATGTAGTAGAAGCAGTAGAGACAAATACAGCTGCACCCTTCCCCAGAAGTTTGTCATACAGTTATATCATATTTCTTTGAGGTCTAAGACCATGATGCAGTCACTTTTATGTCTTTAAAATTTGACTCATACCTGGTACAATTTAGACACTTAATAAAAGTTTGTAACAATTAAATAAAGGCTGCTGGAAAGACATCAATAGAGTACTGTGGGAACTTGCTTATTTATGCTTCCATGTTTAGTTAATATCTGCAGGATTCCTTGTCGTGGGGTGAACAATAGACACATTCATGGAAAGCTCCTCTTGGACAGCCCTTAGCATTTCTCTGGTGCTAACCCCTTATGTGTCATGAATTCCATTTTCTCAACAACCCGCATAAGACAGGCACTGTTCTTTTCCTTCATTTTACAAAGGAACTGGGATACAGAGGGGTCAAGTAACTTTCCTATGATTATACAGCTATTCGGTGAAGAAGTAGGATGTGGGCTCAGGAACTCTGACTCTAAGAGGCTGCACTCTTAACCAGTGCTCTTTCTTCTGTACCTGGCACCTTATAAGCATTGCCTCATTACTCCTCCCCTTCCTAAAGACATGTGCAATTTCCAGCCTTTCACTGTTAAGGAAACTAAAGCTTAGAGATCTTACATGACTCAACCAAAGCTAGTAAAAGGCACATGTGTGAATTTGTCTAAAGAACTGCTGCCTTCATAACCCAGCCAGTTCACTTCTAATTCATTTGTTTATTCAAGAATATTGCTTACTATATCCCAGGAGCTGTTTTAGTTCCAATGAAGAAAGAAATAAAATGGTAGTTCTTGGCCTCATGAAGGCAGGAGGTGTGTGGAAGGAGAGAGCTAGATGATAAAAATAAATAAGAAATCAATAAACACTAGCATGACAGATGTTTGCAGGTGCTATGGGGGAAGGTAGACAGGAAAGGGACCTCCCCAGAGCAGGGATGATGAAGGGTAGATCTTTCAATTTTGGGTCTGGTAGGCAGAAAACCTTTCACTGAGATGCTGATACATGAGCTAAGACCTGGAGGATGGGAGGGCATGAGGCTTCTGCATATGTGGGGGACTAGAATATAAGGGGAAGAAACAGCATATGCAAGAGCCTCAGGCAAAAGTGTGCCTGGAGCTCACTTTGAGCTGCTTGCTGATTGGCATAGAAGTCTTCTTCCATTTATCCATCTGTAGATCCCTTCACCCTTGACTTGACACAGCGATTGCCTTCCTAATCTCCTGGAAGATAAACCTAGTTGTTCATTTGCTTTTTGTCCTGAAATATTCCTTGTTATTAGCTGAAAATGCCCATCCTGAAGCGAGTTCATTTACTGTGTTCGAAGGGGTGACTGGCTGGCTAATGCATTGGCCTTTCCTACAACGTGGTTGCTCTTTTCCAAACATCTTGTATTCCCAGAGAATAGCTCAGCCTGATGAAGAGGAAGAAGCACATTTGAAATATCTGTGGTTCGGGAAGCTAGGAGGGGGCACAGAATGTAAGATCTGTGTGTTGATGTATTAGGCTGTTTTTACATGGCTACAAAGAAATACTTGAGGTTGAATAATTTATAAAGAAAAGAGGTTTTATTGGCTCAGGTCTGTAGGCTGTACAAACATGGTACCAGCATCTGCTTGACATCTGAAGAGACTGCAGTGAACTTTCATCATAGAGGAAGGCTAGGTGTGTCAGATGGCAAGAGCAGGAGCAAGTGACCAAGGAGGGGAGGTCCTAGAGTTTTAAACAACCAGATCTTTCATGAGCTAACTGAGTGGGAGCTGACTTATCACCAAGGGGATTGCGCTAAATCATTCATGAGAGATCTGTCCCCATGATTCAATCACATCCCACCAGGCCCCACCTCCAATATTGGAAATCACATTTCAGCATGAGATTTGGAGGGGACAAATAAGCAACCATATCAATTGCTTTGTATTCAAAGCAGGGGGTGCCAATGACCTCTGTCCAGATGCACAAGAAACTAGCTTTCTGCCTTGTCTTTTTTAGGGGGCCGATGGAATTTCAGGAGCTGCCGGACCACCAGGAATCCAAGGGTCACCTGTAAGTTCCTCAAGGATTGGGATCTGTTTGTAGTCTATCTTTAGCCTTTCCAGAACCCTAAGTGTTTACCAATCCTGCTCTGGTCCTGTCTGTCTCCTGTGGCTCACATGTTTTTGAGGTTCTGTTCACTACAAGTTTTGCAGTGAAACTGCAAGAGGGTTTGCTTTCTGTAGGAGCCCTGGTTATTTTGCTACTAGAGTAAAGGTTTGGTTGAAATGATCTGAAGATCTGTGTTTCCAGAATTTAGTTTATAACCGTCAATGCAAATAGGTCCTAGATTTAGACCCCATATCTCAATTTCTTGTCAGTGTGGTTTCTATTTTGAGCAGGTGCAGGGAAGTGGAAATGGAAGAGAGCTAACTCACCTAGGACTATGGTATGTACCAGGTGAATGTCAGGCAAGAGGCCACCATTGTTACCCCAACTGTTCAAAAGAGGAGAGTCGAATTAAAAATAAGTCACTAGTCAAGGATCCCAAACCACAACTAGTGGAGTTGGCATTTGAACCCAAAACTTTTCTCAAAATCCAGATTTCATTTCATGAAGCTGCCAGAACCACTCTTGGTTTCAATGCCATAAAGGGTGAACCACAGTTTAGTAGGTATTATGTTAGTAGCCAATATATGCATGGCATGTAAATGAATACACGGTACATAAAAATTCCTTATCTCATCTGACACCCCTTCCACCTTTAGCCCTATATGTTAGAAAGGCCATGAATCATTATCTCCATTTTACAAATATGGAGAGTAGGAATTGGAGAAGTGAAATGGCCAGTTCAGGGTCACACAGTGAGGAAAAGAATGTGAGAGCCAGGTGCAATCCCTAGGCCACAGGAATGTCACCATTATATTTCAAGGCCAGCTAGCAAGCAGGCCAGCCCTACCCTGGTATCTCTGGAGTTCTGTGCAAAGGGCATGTGCAAAGGACATTATTACTTAGGAAGACTTTCTTCATGTCAAAGGAGGAGGTCAGCATCCCATGGGGTTATGTCATTTGGTCAAAGTCATACAGGAAATTAGTGTCCAAGTTGGGAGTTAAGCCAATTTAAGATTTCTCAGATCAGTTCTCCTTCTGCTATTCCACACTGACCCACTGCATATGTGGTCTGGGCAGCCAGAGGGATGTTGAGACTGAAAAATCACAGCCCCATGGCTCTGTTTAGGATCCTCATCTGGTCAATCCTTTTGAAGCCACCCATCTAGAAGTCCCAGGATAAATAAAATATAAAATGTACTGGGTTGGGCACAGTTGATCATGAGTATAATTCCAGTACTTTCGGAGGCCAAGGTTGGCAAATCACCTGAGTTCAGGAGTTTCAGATCAGCCTAGGCAACATGATGAAACCCCCTCTCTACTAAAACTACAAAACTTAGCTGGGCGTGGTGGCACGTGCCTGATTCCCAGCTACTCGGGAAGCCAAAGCAGGAGAATCACTTGAAGCAGAGAGGCAGAGACTACAGGGAGCTGAGATTGTGCCACTGCACTCTAGCCTGGGCGACAGAGTGTGACTCCGTATGCAAATGATTTCCCTGATAAAAACAAACGGATTGTTTGCCTGAAAATAATAAGATGTGGATCCAGGACATAAAACTATTACATTCCTAGGAATTAAACTGTGTTAAATAAGCCTTTGATTCTGTCACGGGACCACTCCTCAGCTTATGGTAGCCCTTGAAGCTGTCCATGGTGCTGAAATTTGCCCTAACCGTCAAACTAGAATATAGTGGAAGTTTTCTTTGCCCAGAGAGTACTGATGGTCATAAAATGGAAGTAATTTTTTTTTTCTTTTCCTTTTGAGACAGAGTCTCACTCTTGTTGTCCAGGCTGGAGTGCAGGGACACGATCTCTGCTCACTACAACCTCTGTCTCCTGGGTTCAAGTGATTTCCAACTAATTTTTGTATTTTTGGTAGAAATGGGGTTTCACCATGTTGCCCAGGCTGGTCTTAGACCTTAAGTGATCCGACTGCCTCGGCCTCCCAAAGTGCTGGGATTAACAGGCATGAGCCACCACACCCAGCCAATAAAAGTAATTTTTTTTTTTTTTTTTGAGATGGAGTCTTGCTCTATCACCAGGCTGGAGTGCAGTGGCACAATCTTGGCTCACCGCAACCTCTGACTCATGGGTTCAGGTGATTCTCCTGCCTCAGCCTCTCGAGGTGGGGTGCCACCCCACCCAGCTAATTTTTTGTATTTTTAGTAGAGATGGGGTTTCACCATGTTGGCCAGGACGGTCTCAATGTCTTGACCTTGTGATCCTACCGCCTCAGTCTCCCAACGTGCCAGGATTACAGGCACGAGCCACCACACCCAGTCCCAGAAGTAATTTTTGAAAGTTAAATGGGGCATAATTATAATAAAAAGATACATACACAGAAACCTTAGTTCTGTTATATTTTGAACTAAAAGACAAACCTTTGGCAGTCTTTTTGACATAGGATAAAGGCTTTTACTTTGATTTTGGGTAATGAATGGAGTCTTTTGTCGTCAGTCATGTAAAAAGTGCATCCACTGATCACTTTTTGTTACTTTTTGAAAATTGGTTTGAGAATATAACAACGTATGTGTGACAATATGAATGTTGAGTTCTAGATTGTTAGGATTATTTTCCTAGTCTTTTGTAGCTTTCCTAACCTTTTATAGCTGTATCAATTTAGATGATGGGTGGTGAATGACTCACTTTTGGCTAGTGTTTTCAAAATCCTACCATAGCTTGCATAAAAAGTTTATTCTTTTTTCCTGCCTAAATTATACCGGATTGTTTAATCAACAATTAAATTGTATGATTTCCATCACAAATAACTGATGCAAACAGGCTTGGGGACAAGCACACTGACTTCTTGCAAGCCTTCACCTCACAGAAAAGTGAGTGGAACAGAAAAGCAAGAGTGGACTGCAGGCAAGGATGTACTGCAGTGCTGTGACGAGGCATGGGTTTTTGGAGAGCGTGGAGAGGCTGGTTTATAATGGGGGTTGGTCAGTGGAAGTTGTTTAAGAGTCTACCATGTTGTAATTTTCAGCCTCTCTGCCAATGGAATTTCTTTCTAAATAAATAAGAGTCTAGTGATGCCAAGAAGACTTAACAGGGAGTCAGAGGCAGAATTCTTTCCTAGATCTGCCACATTCTTATTATGGGACCATGCCTTCCTCACCTGAGTTTAAAAAGAATGATCTAATATAGTACTTGGCAAACTTTTTCCATAAAGAACCAATTAGCAAATATTTTAATGCAAAATTAGCCATAGACAACATGCACACCGATGGGTGTAACTGTGTTATGATAAAACTTTATTTAACAAATTTAGCAGTGGGTTGGACTTTGCTGACCCCAGTCCTAGATTACCGGTGTTTCCACACTAGGGTATTTGAAACAATAGGCATCCAGGAGAGAACCCAAGATGCTCCATTATCAATATTTAAAAATCTCTGATAATATCTCCATCTTCGTCACAGGTTGACCAAAAATCTCCACTTAATTTTCTGATGTGTTTGTAGGTGTTGTGATGTGGGGAGGGGTGAATATTTTGTTATATCATGCTTATTATTGTGCATTGGCCTAAAGTTTAAGAATACCTCATTTTGTGTGGCATGTGAATTAGAATGTAAAACTTGACATCCGTATCTTATCTCCCAATAAACACTAGTAGGAAATTATAAAGTTGTCAGACCTACTCATGGTAGAGACACAGGGTGATATGATAATATTCACTATGGTGGGAATTAGGGTACTGATTAGATAATGCTAATTTATAAGCCCTGATTGAAACTTATGTAAGTCTTTGATGAACTAAATTGGAAATAAAATATTAATGAGTGAATTCTGGTAAAACAATTTTCAAATACAAGGAAAGAGATAGTAGAGAAGTTACTGGTAAAATAAGTAGAACACCCTGGAAAAAAATGATGAAAATAATAAACCATCTGTTATGCATGCCCCTAGTCAGCTCCCCCTGTGTACAGTCCTGTACACACCACATCTCAAGGTGCTGAGGTCTGTGCTGTATGGGTAGAGAACTTGAATTTCTGGAAGTCTGGGGACAAATACAGAGCTGGATCTGGACTCAGGTCTTGTGGATTCTAAAACCCCAATAGCTTCTTCCCATTGGCATTCCAATAGGCAGTTTTCCCTGAGCCTGTGTATTAATAATATGGTCAGAATGAGTCCCAGTGTGTGTACCAATAGGGGTGATTATATTCAGCTCCAGGGAACTTCACTGCCTTGGAGGAAACACAGCTCAGAAGGCCATGAGGCTGATACAAAAGCACCCCTTGCTTCTAACCAAACACTCACTCCCTCAACCCATGAATGTAGTCCTGTGTGAAGTCATTAACTTCCGGAAAAGTCAGTAAAGGTTTCATGCTGTTTTTATGTCTTGGATCTTTTAGGGGAAAGAAGGCCCTCCTGGCCCCCAAGGCCCATCTGGATTACCTGGAATCCCAGTAAGTGGCTTTTATAAAAACACACAAACAGAGACAACCTAGTTTCTCTTTATAAAAACAAGCAAGCAAAAATATATTTCACTGTCAAAACAAGGCCAGGCCACTAGTGGAATTTTGAGTGTTGTAGAAAACTAGAAATAAAATAATCACTAACTTTTTTATCAGTTAAAGCCGACTAAAATTTTGGTAGACTGGGTCTTAATCTTGTGCTTCTTTTAGGCATATATTGGTTGTTTCTTATTTCTTTAAATAGTAATTTTTCTCTCTTTCTTTACATATATATGTATGTATACGTGTATATATATGTTTATATTGTTAAAACAATCAACACACACATATACAGAACTGTGATAATTAACTATTTGTGATAATGTAAACATTTTCCATTTTCCCATACTAGTGTTAAATTTTCATAAACTTTGCATGTAATATATACAGTGGATGCACCACAATATATATGATCGTTTCTCAGTTGCCTCATAAACCTTACAATTATTTTAAAAAGCAACTACAAAGGACAATTTCGTATGCACAGCATTTAAAAAATTTCTTAATGATGATCCTCCAAAATGTGATTTGCTTGCCAGAGTAGAGAAACATCTAAGATTCTTGATACATACTGCAGAATTACTTTCCACGGATGTTGTTCTGAACTTTTCAATTGAATATCCTTCTCACTAGAGTTGAGCTGTTCAAGGCATTTGTAGTAAATTCCTCCAGAAAGGCAATGCACTGCCTTCTGCATTGAGAGTGAATTCTTCTGTGGCTCTTGGTCTGGCCTCTGCCTGCTGCTGTAGCACTTACTGTCAACAGTCCCCCGACCCTGCTCTCCACTGTGCGCTCTTTTGTTCCAGCCACACTAGATTTTTTTTGGGTCCCAGAATGCACTGAATTCCCTCCTGCCACCCTCCACACTCCTTCCAGGATACCTGGAGGCCTCTTTCCTTCTTTCACTAGTAGATGCCTTTGATCTTCCCCATCTCATTCCAGCTATCACTTCCTTCTCTGCTCCCCTCCCCTGCAGGCTAGGAGAGGTTCTCTCTTCCTTTTCTTCTGAGTGCTTATCTCATCTGGTGATCTCATTTCTGTTGGTGTAATGGATTGATTAGTTCTCCATTATTCCTTGGTCTGATTGACTCACTCATTCAACAAACACCTCTGTTTGTTAGATCTGAGGACGTACTATTGAAGCACGCCTGGTAATTAATCACAGGGCTATATTCTGTGCTATAGGTTCTGCATGAGCTGGAACTACCTCTGTTTTTGTTTAGTCTTGGGTCCCTACACATAGTGAGCACACAGCCAACACTGATTAAAGAAACATGTGAATGAATGAATCGGCTGTTAGAGCTCATTCTCCTACAGTATCTGATATGTACTGCCATTGATCAAGAAGGCATTTCCTGGGCATCACTGACAGTCCTGTCTATAACTCTGTAGCCTGAAAGTTAAGTACATATAGATCTGGGCACACAGATCTGAAGTGCCATGCTAGGATGTTGACATGAACTGCAACCCTGGAGACCAGGATGCCACAGCACTAGGAAATATGTATTAATTTAATTTCATCAATGATAAAGCTAAGGAGAGAAAAATCCCGATTTGGATTTTGTGTTAACCCCTTATCAAAGTTCTAGAGTACTGGAGAAGAGGGGAACAACCTTGCATATGATTATGCTACTTTCCTAATAATATCCATTTCTCTCTTCCACCCTTTTTCCTCCCTCCCTCCTCCTTTCTTTCCTTCCAATGGAAATCTGATCATGTTACTTCCCTCTGCTCACTGTTGTCCTTAGGCATAAGCCAAGGACTGGGCCCTGTTACTTCCCTGGTACCTTGTGAACAGCCCCAGCCTTCTTCTTTGTTTCTTTTTCACACTGTTTCTCCTTCAAGGAAAGAAATGAGTAATGCTTATAGCCTTTTGGTGTCCCGAACATGCTCCTTGCTGTCATTTGCTGAGCCCCTCCTGTGCTCACAGTGGTGAACCATGCTGAATACCTACCTTCCTGCACATTATTGAATGCCATCCTCATCATCGTCAGCATCCACATTCCCCCCTCACCCATCATGGTGCTCACCCAGGAGGCCCAGATACCAGGCCCTCATGTTCTAAGCTCGGCTTCATGAAAATGCCCAGGAGACCTTGCCTATGCCTATGTCCTGAATGGCATTTCCTAGGTTTTCTTCTAGGTTTTTTGTGGTGTTAGGTCTTATGTTTAAATCTTTAATACATCTGGAGTTAATTTTATATAAGGTTTAAGGAAGGGGTCCAGTTTCAGCTTTCTGCACATGGCTAGACAGTTTCCCCAACACCATTTATTAAACAGGAAATCCTTTCCCCACTGCCTGTTTTTGTCTGGTTTGTCAAAGATCAGATGGTTGTAGATGTGTGGTGTTAATTTTGAGGTCTCTGTTCTGTTCCATTGGATTATATCTCTGTTTTGGCACCAGTACCATGCTGTTTTGATTACTGTAGCTTTGTAGTATAGTTTGAAGTCAGGTGGTGTGAAGCCTCCAGCTTTGTTCTGTTTTTTAGGATTGTCTTGGCTATGTGGGACCTTTTTTGGTTCCAAATGAAGTTTAAGGTGGTTTTTTCCAGTTCTGTGAAGAACTTCATGACTAAAACACCAAAAGCAATGGCAACAAAAGCCAAATAGACAAGTGGGATCCAATTAGCCTTAAGAGCTTCTGCCCAGCAAAAGAAACAATCATTACAGTGAACCAGCAACCAACAGAATGGGAAAATATTTTTGCAAGCTATCCATCTGACAAAGGACTAATATCCAGAATCTACAAATAACTAAAACAAATATGCAAGAAACAAACAACTGCATAAAAAAGTGGATAAAGGATATGAACACTTTCAAAAGAAGACATTTATGCAGCCAACAAACATGAAGAAAATGCTCATAATCACTGGTCATTAGAGAAATGCAAATCAAAACCACATTGAGATACCACCTCACGCCAGTTAGAATGATGATCTTTAAAAAATCTGGAGACAATAGATGCTGGAGAGAATGTGGAGAAATAGGAATGGTTTTATACTGTTGGTGTGAGTGTAAATTAGTTCAACCATTGCGGAAGACAATGTGGCGATTCCTCAAGGATCTAGAAATAGAGATACCATTTGACCCAGCAATCTCATTATTGGGCATATGCTCAAAGGATTATAAATCGATCTATTATGAAGACAGATGCACACGTATGGTCATTGCGGCACTGTTTACAATAGCAAAGACTTGGAACCAACCCAAATGCCCATCAAAGTTAGACTGGAGAAAGAAAGTGTGGCAATATATACCATGGAATATTATGCAGCCATAAAAAGGATGAGTTCATGTCCTTTGCAGGGACATGGATGAATCTGGAAACCATCATTCTCAGCAAACTGACACAAGAACAGAAAACCAAACACCGCATGTTCTCACTCATAAATGGATGTTGAACAATGAGAAAACTTGGACACAGGGAAGGGTACATCACACACTGGGGTCTGTTGGGGGGTGAGGGGCTAGGGGAGGGTAGTGGGGGGTGGAGAGATTAGGTTGGGATAACATTAGGAGAAATACCTAATATAGGTGATGGGGGGATGGAGGCAGCAAACCACCATGGCATGTGTAAACCTACCTATCTAACAATCCTGCAAGATCTGCACATGTACCCCAGAACTGAAAGTAAAATTAAAATGAAGAAGAAAATGCCCAGGAGAGGCTTCTTTAGGTCAATAGCAATAGTAAAAATGCTATTGCAAAATGTATTGCTTTCCCACTATGTGCCAGATACTGTGAGTCAGAGACCCACAGCCACAATCTTGGTGTTGAGAAAGAAACCAGGAAATCAGAGCAATTCTGTCTGTTAAGATGTCCCCTTAGCTGCCAACTGTGAGTGCAATGTCTGGAAGCTGAAGAGAAAGACATGCTAAAACTGCGTTCATCTTTCCATCTCCTGGAATCTTCTTTGACCTGATAACTAATTTGAGTTTCTCTTGCAGGGAGAAGAAGGCAAAGAGGGCAGAGATGGAAAGCCAGGTCCCCCTGGGGAACCGGTAAAGGACTGTAAACTTCCTATTTTATCACATGCCAAATCCATTACATGTGAATAACAACTACTTTGTGTGAGGGGCTACTATGAGCCAGACTCGAAGATAGGCATTTTCTAGGCCTCATTTCATTTACATACCCTGACAACCCTGCACAGTAAACACTACTGTCCCCGTTTTAAAGCAGAAGAAACCTGGGTCTCTGGCAGGTGAAATCATGGCTCCAAAGTCAAATGATGGGCGGTGACAGAATCAGAACCTGAGCCCAGGTCTCCTGTCCCTGCTCCACATTTTGCTTTACTGTCCCATATAGCCTCAGTCCTATTGATATGATAGATGAAGCTGAAATAGATAAGCAAAGGCAGGATGAGAAATCTGATATCTGGAGAGCCCAGAATACCCAGGAAAATCTGAGTGACACCTGCTAGCTCCAGACATTATGGGATTGCACACACACACACACACACACACACACACTCTCTCTCTCTCTCTCTCTCTCCCTCTCTCGTAACTCTGACATAGTTTTCTTGTTTTGCTTTTGGTTTTGGTTAATGTCAGCTGTCCAGAGATATACAGTGAGATGGATCAAGTGCTCACGAGGATATCTCTGTGGCCCCAGTAGCTGTTAGTTGGGAATGTGCAGGGATTTCCAAAGACCCGTATCTGTGACTTCAAAGCTGTGCTCACTGAGCTTGGTCAATCCTTCTTGCCTGTGGATCAGAGATTCATCATGATGATGATTCATCGGTTTTTTAGCAGCTCTTAAGTCTTCCCAAAGCCCTTTCACAGACACTACACCAAGGGGAACATGAAGGACAGCATCGGTGATTTAGAGACCCGGGTTCTCCAAATGCCCACTAGTATGAGACTAGTTAAATGATGAGCGGTCCACTCCGTAGAATACCAATAACTGTCGGAAGGAATGAGGGTGTTCTCTAGATACTGATGCAGGACTGCTCCTAGTTAGATTATGAAGTAGAAAGGCAAAGAATAAAACAATGTGTATCATCTGGTGTATTTTGTATAAAAATAGTTGTGGGCCTATTTTTTTCTAGTGCTAATCTAAAGGAACTCTGGGAGACTTCATAAAACACTCATAAAAGTAGTTTCTGTCCATGGGAGGATGATTGCCAGACAAGGGGACACAGCAGTAGGAAGACAACTTTATATTCCATAGTATTTTATTTTAGTGTTATCTCCTTAACTTTTGGAGCCATGAGTATACATTACTTATTGACAAAATTAAATTTCAGATATAGTGATTGAATAAAAATATTTTATGCCAAAATTAGAACAACTATAATAACAATAGCAGTAACAAACTGGCTTCAGATTCCAGCCCCACTCCTTACCAGGTTTTGTGATCTGGGTGAGTCAGAAAGCATCCCTGAGCTTCAGTTTCTTTTGAAATGGGATGAGAATAATACGCCAATTTGCCAGAGTCACTGGGGAATCATATGATGTAAAAAATGTGTTAAATGCATCAAGTTTATCTGACTATTAATTATTTTAGTAAACTACTTTTCCCACCTGCCCTGGTTTTAGCTCCTGGTGAGGTTAGAACTGCAGAGCCTTTAGAACCACTAAGTGGAATTACATAAAAGTTTCTACCATGAGATTTATGTCCCATTTAATTTGTTTGGTCATAAACTATTATGACTCATTCTGAATCTTACGCAACTTGCTGGAAGCACCTTCTTTATCATTTTACATTGTTTGCCAGATGCTAAAACCAAAATTCATTGCTGAGAGGAAAAGAAGGAGCTTTTAGCAGCTGAGCAAATTGAAAAGTCTCAATGAGCCACTGTAGACTGACACCCAGCAAAGCTGCCCATGGTGGGCAAATGGTATTCAGCCTGGGCGAAAACGTGGCAAGAATAGAGAGAAGCACACATATCACAGTGTGGCTGACAGCGACTATGTGTGCGCCTAGGGCCGGGGTACTGAGCACTTCGTTACATTTTCCCACTGTCATCCCCAGAAGAATTATGGTCTGTGGGTACCATTATTGCTCCCAGATGAGGAAATGAAGACATAAAGAGGATGATAGCTTGATAAAGGTCATAGAGCTGGTAAATGAAGCATCCAGGACTCACACTCCTGGAGGCTGACTCCGGAGTTCACTGCTGCAGAGTGTATTGTCCTGCAGGACGTGTATTGTGCCAAGAGGCTATTACAGTTCAGATTAACTGAGGACACTGGTCTTCATTCAGTCTGTTTACTCAATGCCTGTTTTGATGCAGGTAGGGTATTTAGGAGGTGATCCCATGAACCACTGAGGGAGGGAGGAAGGGAATGGAGTAGGGAAAGAAGGAAAGGCACGCTAGCAACTGGTGACTCCATGTTGGGGCCCAGCCTCACTAGGGATCCTCTGATTGCTCCTGGAGGCATTGACTCCCCTGCACTTGGGCCTTCCACACCTCAAAACCAAGCACCACCTAGGATCAGGGAATACCTTTCATTCTGTGTCTGCCCCTGAACCTGTGCGGGAACTGCTCCACAGGAGCAGGCATCCCCCTGGGTGAGCCCAGGAGATGTGGTTGGAGAATGGCAGCATCTGCTACAGGTGCTAGGCGGCCCCTCTGTAGGTTGACTTGCCCCTTCAAAGTGTGTATATGGGAGGAGCACAAATGGATAGACAGACAAGCCAGATAGATAGTACAAAGGAAGGGAGGGAGGGAGGGAAGGACGGAAGGAAGGGTGAATGGATAGATGGATAGATTCACAGATAGATGGATATATAGACAACCTTTTGAGTTGCCTGTTGCTTAATTTTTATTAAGAGATATTTGAGCATTAACTAAAGTATAGGATGAAGTACAGACTCTGGAACCAAAATGCCTAGATTAGAGCCCCAGCTGTATGACCTGGAGTGATGACTGAACCTCTCTGTGCCTCAGCGTTTTGCCTGAGGGTTGACAAGAGTCAGGCTTCAGTGACATCATAGTGAAAACTTTCAGTAGCTGCTGGTTGTTCCATTTTTCTGCTGGTGCCTTGGGTCAGTGATGGCCATCACAGTTGACTCTGGGGCAGGAGCCAGGCTATGTATACCCTCTATCACAAAGACCTGCAAAGGAGGACTGTCCCAAATTTACAGATCCAGAGAAAGGAAGTGACACCTTAAGATCACACAGCTAAACTAGGAAACAGACAGGCTTTAGGCCCCACCCTTCTTTCTATAGTTTTTTTTCTCTAAATCCAAGGATGCTCCTTTCTCTCCTTGCTCCCTCCTGATGGGCTGCCTATGATTCTCAAAGTTTATAACCTGTAAACATGAGGTGGACAGAATGTTTGGGAATAGGCATGCCCTCCAGCCCCAGCATGCTGCCCCTTCTGACCATCCATCAAGCTTAGCCTTTCACTTTCTTTCCTCTGCCCCACCTCCCCTCACCCTTCCCCTGACCCCACCTTCAACTTATGTGGACCTGAGTTGCCAAGGCTCTTATTGTCTTCTGTTCCTGGTTTGCTTCTGTGCAGGGCAATGCCAAGCTGTGGGCATTAAAAAAGAATTTTAAATAGCAAGAGTGTCCTGACAAGCTCTTTTAAGATGATGGGGTGAAGAAAAGGCCGTGTAAGTTGCAGGCCACCCTGCTAGTAGGTACTGCGGCTGGCCTGGAAAGAGCATCCACTTGGGTGTGGCACTCAGCTGGAATTCAGCCCGGCTTTGCTATTTAATACCTTGATAAAAATACAACTTCTCTGAACCTCAGCATCACTGTTGGTAAAGTGCAAGTGTTAATAGCTGCCTTCACATGCTGTTTGCAGTTGGGCCTAAAGTCATCTGTAACTAAGATGGCCATATAACTTCTCCTCCACACCAAGACGCCTCTGATAGTAAAAGGGGGTACTAGGCATAATTAATTTGGAGATGAGACCTGCGTAACCAGCATCATCCCAGGAAAACCAGAAATGTAATAGGTCTGGATACATGGTGGAGATTTGTGCAGATAAAGATGGACCAAGACCCCAGGGGAAAGGGCTGACAGAGGGGACAGAGACTGGCTGTGGGAATAGAACTGTAAGAAACATAGACAGCCAGCAATAGGAAGACTCTTACAATGCTGTCCTCAAACTCTTCTTCCTTACTCTCAGGGCAAAGCGGGAGAGCCGGGTCTACCAGGACCAGAGGGTGCCCGAGGCCCACCTGTAAGTGTGCGGTGTGTGTTGGGAACGGTAGAATCGAGCCCACCAGCCACATGTCTCTCACCACTGTGGCAGGGCTAGCCCAGACTGGCTGACCATGTGGTCCCAGAAGTCCTTTTCCTCCAGACAGCCATGCTTCCCTACAGTCAATTCAGCTTTGTCACACTCCATAGCTGTGAAATTTATTTTCACAATTGAAGTCATTACCTTGTTGTTGCTACAAGTTTTCTTTGTTCTTATCTGATTTATTATAATTTCAATGGGTTTTCTCTGGATAATAGAGCCTAAAAATTAATCTTAATTTTAGTTTTCAACACTTTCCATAGCTAAAGTCTTTTTCCAATTATAAAAGTAACTCATTCCCATTCTCTAATGGTGTTAATAATGATTATGATGATGGTAATAAGAAGAAAAAAATACAAAAAATGATATAGAGAAGAAAATTAATTTACTTCTAATTCTACAACACGGAAGAAAAGCTTTTAATATTTGGTGTATTTTTTCTAGTCCTTTTTTTCTGTATATGAATTCTAACATCTGTATATGTGCATCTATATCTAGCTATCTAGCTGCTATGCACATAAACAGACACAGACATTACCTATGAAAATGAACTCTATGTGTTTTAGCATTATTGGGTCTTATTGCTAAATGTTTTACCTCCTCATAATTTCAGGAATGTTCTCACAATTCCTTAAATTGCTTTTAGAAAAAAATATGATTTTAAATGATTGTCCTAAAATTATCTGGATTTTTATCTAGCAGATCAAAATTCGGGTCCTATTTTCTTAATGTTTTTCTTTTAAAAATCAACTTTCTGCCTAGTATTCAGTAAGAAGGAAATAAAATACAAAACTAAATTTTCTGTTTTCCTAAATCCCCTTGTTTTTCACATGACTACGCCAGAAAACACCCTAGAATGGGGACTATTACCTCTTGTGGCGATTGCAACACTGAACCAGTGACCAATTTGTTAAAGGTGGTTCCTGGCTTATTGCAGTGACAGGGGCTCCTTTTCAGCCAGGAAACCCATGGAACCTGCATTGGGGCAAGACCCATCCATCTCTCAACTGGGAGTTGTAATGAAAGAACTGAGGTTAGAAGCCCAGGCAGGGAAAAGAAGACCAAGCTCCTCTGGCTACTGCAGAATAAGCCAGGACAAGGCTTTGTAGAATGGAGTGGGTTTTCAGATAGAAAGACCTGGATTCAGCCTTTACTTTGTCATTTATTGACTTTGTGACCTTGGGCACAGTGAGGACCTTTCTGAACCTCTGTTTCTTCTTCTATGAAACGGCAGTCATAATAGCTCCCATTCTTGCAGGGTGGTTGTAAGTACTAAGGGGGAAGGTAGGACATATAACATTCACAGCAGAGTGCCTGATACGTTGAGTGTGGCTCTCTCAGTTGGTGCTTTTGTGATTAGATGGGGGGAGAGCACATCAGAGCCTCTTCCTCTGGGCTGGCTGAATTTGGAATTCTAGGGTCCTTGAGGAAGATGCTGAGCCCCGAGAAATTCCCAGCCCTCTCCAGGGAAATGTAACTGGATCTGAGCAACTGGAGAGCACTGTGCAGTTCTTATTCAGCCCTGACAGCAACTCTACAGAAGTAGGTTCTATCCTAATTTTACAGATATGGAAACTGAGTCCCAGAGGAGAGAAGTAGAGCTCCCAAGATCCCACAGCTACAAAGTGAGAGGCATGGCCCCGTCCCAGACTTAACTCCAGAGTCAGCCCAGTTCCATGAAGCTAAGAGCATATGGCACTCTTTTCCATAGATTAATACTGCAGAGCCATGCCAGATGGGCAGCCTTGTTATCCTTGAGCTTTAGCTTTATATCCATCCATTGGGGATTTTCACACAGGCAGATCAGTCTGGAGATTAGACATGATGGCCTCAGCTCTGCTAATGGTTTAATCTTCACTCACAGGGCCAGGAGCTCTGTAGTGGTGCTTCGGGTAATACGCCTCCAAGCTGCAACTCTGCACGAGGAGACCCAACCACTATGGCCCAGAGCTGACCCTACTCAGAGGTGTTGGTAGGACCAGCAGTGGCCACAGGAACAAGGAAGGGGCCACAGGACCTAACTCTGGGTGAAGGTGATATTCCCTGCAACTGACTCAGGAGCTGTGCAGAGAGGGGCAGGCTAAGCCATGCACTGTGAACCTGGAACAATTGGGAGGAACAGGAGTTCAGGAGATACCTAGGGCAATGCCCCTATGCTCTGAGGCGTTAGTGAGATGAGCCCTGGCAGCCCTGCCCACAGCACAGAGGGGGTTGGGAGGAAGGGCTCTTGGTGTCTCGCTGTCAAGCCCCTGGCACCGAGCATGGCACCAAGTAGGGCTCAGTGTCCTGCAGATGGTGGAGATTGAGCAGAGGCAGTGTGGGCCAAAGCAGGCGGGGAGGCATGCGTGCCTACTTCTGCCCAAGAGCCTGCTCTGTCATGGGATAACTCCATTCTCTTCCTTCTAGGGCTTCAAGGGACACACGGGTGATTCTGGTGCACCTGGTCCCCGGGTAAGTGGGCACTTCACTTTGGAGGTCTCCCCAGGTGGTCAGAGCTTACACTTCCCAGACAGAAGTTTCCTGCAGCCTGCAGGCCATGGCAGTGCCTTACCCAAGAGAGGAAACGGAGCACACTAGCCTGGAGCATATCAGCACAGGGGCACCTTGGAAGATCCATCCCCCACCCCTTGGCCTAATTCTCTCAGGTGGTTTTTCTGGGGGCCAGACATTGTCATTGCCAACTAGTTTGACCAAATCAGTCTGGACTCAGGTGTGTCATGCACATCAGCCCTGAGCCCTATGAGGGGGTTGATGGTATTACGTTCATTTTGCAGAGGAGGAAACTGAGACCCAGAGGACATGGGTGATTTCCCAAGGTCCTAGAGCTTCTATATGGAAAGCATCACTTTTACCCCAAATGTGAAAACTCCAGAGACTATTTTCTTAACCTTTAACTCTTCTGCCTCCTCAGATTGCCCAGAAGTGACATTAGGGGTCAGCTGGTTAGATCCTTTGCATGATCTAGATACCGAGGAGCAAGCGCAGATGTAGAGAGGGTCACATGGATGAGCAGATAAGGAGGCAGCATTCAAGTGCATATGCCAGCGCCATCAGCTGCTGTTCTGCCTGAGCTGCCCAGAGAGGCACAGCGTGGCTCCAGGTGCTCACAGCTGGCCTTGGGTGTGCCACAGACCTCAACTCAGGGCCCTGGCAGGGCCTGAGTTGACAGGTCCCTGGGTCTCCACCTCTCCCAGCTCCTCAGATGCCCCTGTGGTTGAGGCAGCCAGTGGCTGAAGCATCTCCTTCCCTAATAGCAGGACTTTTTCTTCCTAGGGAGAGCCTGGTGCCATGGGGCCTCCTGGCCAGGAAGGGTTACCAGGAAAAGACGTAAGTGGGGTCCTGTAGGGTCTGGCTGGGCTAGGGGTGGGGTATCAAGGAAGTGATACCCAGAAACTGCCCCACAGTGGTTGGTGGCAGCACTGCTAAGGGGCACACAGATGATGTCATAGGATTGGTTGGCAAGGATGAGATTGGAGGCTCTGGCCTAGTGTGTGGGTACCTGGACTTTATGTTTGATAAGGAAGCTTTTTCTGGATCAGTTGTGATTTGTCAATTGGTACAAATGAGAAGCCTGTTGGGTCTGGCCTTAAATGGACTTGAGAGGCATTTTAGAGTTTCTCCTGGATTATTTCTTCATCTCTCGGGCTCTGCAGTGCTCAAAGCATCCGCACCCCTTGCCGCCACCACTGTGTGCTATGGATGGCTCTCATGTTTATTTGGTGTTAGGATCTGGACAGAACAAGGAAATTTATTTTGTTTGTTTTTTGAGATGGAGTCTCGCTCCCTGTCCAGGCTGGAGTGCAGTGTCCCCATCTGGGCTCACTGCAGCCTCCACCTCCTGGGTTCAAGCAATTCTCCTGTCTCAGCCTCCTGAGTAGCAGGGACTACAGGTGCCTGCCACCACACCTGGGTAATTTTTGTATTTTTAGTAGAGATGGGATTTCACCTTGTTGGTCAGGCTGGTCTCGAACGCCTGACCTCAGGTGAGCCACCTGCTTTGGCCTCCCAAAGTGCTGAGATTACAGGTGTAAGCTGGGATTACAAGGAAACCTTTGAACTCAGGTGTACAAATGAAATATTTGAGATCCAGAGAGATTAAGGGACTGATTTATGATCACTCAGAGAGTCAGAGACAGGAATAGCTTGCCTGGAGCCCAGAATCCGCCAGCTCCACATTCCCCAGGGACCAGCCGTCTGCAAGTGGCATCCTGCAGGGTGGTTGGATGTGTGGGATGCAGAGTGCCCTCATGGAAATGGCCATTTGGTCAGAGGTAGGGGCACCAGGTACTGAGGTGCAAAGTGGTCTCATGCCCATCCTGTGTGTCCTTCAGGACCTGCCTTTAAACAGTGACAAAGTGGACTCTTCCCCAGAAGAGTGACACACCAGAGTACATAGCCCCTGCATCTGATCTGCTGCCAGGAATGATGGAGCTAGAAAGGATACTTAGGAGAAATCTGATCTAGGTCAGGTGCTTTCTTAGCTGTGGAATCTGTTTTACAAGATCAGTATAGTGTATGGAAACCTATGCATATAGCTAAAAGTAGAGCCCACCCAAACCCCACCCAAAAGGGGGCCTTTGAGAAGCCTGATATAGTTCATCCCCTCCCCTGCACTTTGATTTGTAGAAAGGGTGATGCAGGGTGCTATCCAGGCAGGAATGTGACTGGTATCAGCTCACCCAGTACACCGGGGTAGAGCTGGGATGGGACCCTGGGATGCCAGGCGATGGGCTCTGCTTCCTTCCCTCCATCTTAACCATTTGACCTTTATTTTAAAAATCAATTTTCTAGAGTGTTTTGCAGTCTACTTTGTGTAAGAGCATGTCCAAGTTTCTGATTTTTTATCCATCACATGGTTAGGATTATGCCCCTGTCACGGGGCTGCTTGGAAGACCCTGCAAGGTGGTGGTGAATCACGCTGCTTGGCAAACTGGAAGGTGCTATACACCTGGGTGGCATTGATTTTTTTTACCCTGGTGGCTCAGACATGAATGGTTCCAGGTCACCATCTAGTGAATCAGGAAAAGAACTTCAAGAGAGATTCTCTCCTCTGATACTTCTCTTAGTTCAGGATGGAGCCACCTAAAATCCCTGACCACAGATGGAGGATGTCTAAGAAGTAACTGAATAAATGCATGCACAAATGCGAGCTTGCATGCATTACTTATGTACGGGCAGAGAGTTTGTCCATATTTGGAATAATGGAAAATTGATGATGAAACATGCTGGGCAGTTTGTTGGTTCCTTTGGGTAACTCGGAGAGCTTTGGTTAACATTTGAAGTTGTGATGCCATCATCTTCACACAGCTACTTAGTAAGGACATCACCTCACTCTCTTTCTTCCAGGGTGACACTGGACCTGCTGGGCCACAGGGTCCCCAAGGACCGAGGGGCCCACCGGTGAGTTTTGCTTTGCGATGAATGCGCTTCATGTTACTGCAGGGCCTGTTACCACAGTGACATTTAGTTAGCTCCCTCTGATGCTGCCGTATATATTGTTAAACAATTGCAATATGTTTTAGCAGTTGGTAAATAGCTGCCCCCTCTAAGTCCCCGTAGTCACCTCCCCCAATGCTCAGATTCTTCTCTGGGACCATCTCCCCCTCACAATATAAAAATTACAAAGGTGCCACTGGGCGCCACTGGGACCTTATAGGACCTGGCACCGAGGGTCTACTCTAGCTCTGGGCCACACTAGGGGTTGGTGCTTTCTAGGGGTTAGTTTCCTGGGGCTGCTGTAACCAAGCACCATGAATGGAATGTGGTACACAGCAGAAGTGTGGTACACAGCAGAAATGTGGTACACAGAGGAAATGTGGTACACAGTGGAAATGTGGTACACAGCAGAAGTGTGGTACACAACGGAAGTGTGGTACACAGCAGAAGTGTGGTACACAGTGGAAATGTGTTGCCTCATGGCTCTGGGGGCCAGAAGACTGACACTCAGATCAACAGGGTTGCTTCCTTCTGAGCCTGAGACAGAATCCTTTCCAGGTGTCTCCCCAGCTTCTGGGGCTTTGCTGACTCTGTAGGGTATTCCTCAGCTTGGGAGCACCACTCTGGCCTTTGCCTTCATCTTCACATTGGGTTCTCCCTGCTTGTGCCTCTCTCCAAATGCCCCCTCAGTTTTCTTTTTTGAGATGGAGTCCTGCTATTTCACCCAGGCGGGAGTGCAGTGGTTGCAATCTCGGCTCATTGCATCCTCCGTCTCCCAGGCTCAAGTGATTCTCCTGCCTCAGCCTCCTGAGTAGCCGGGATTACAGGCGCCCACCACCACACCCAGCTAATTTTTTCTTTCTTTTTTTTTTTTTTTTTTTTTTTTTTTTTGTTTTTTTTTTTTTTTTCTTTTTTTTTTTTTTTTTTTTTTTTTTTTTTTTGTATTTTTAGTAGAGTTGGGGTTTTGCCATGTTGGTCAGGCTGATTTCGAACTCCTTTCCTCAAGCGATCTGCCTGCTTCGGCCTCCCAAAGTGCTGGGATTACAGGCGTGAGCCACTGTGCCTGGCCCAAAGTTCCCCTTCTTATAAGGAAAGCTTATTGGATAAAGGGCCCACCCTATTCAATATGACCTTATATTAATTAGTTTCATTTGGAATGACCCAATTTCCCAATGAGGTCACATTGAGAGGAACTGAACATTAGGACTTCAACTTAAAAATTTTGGGGAACATGATTGAACCCCATAGCATTCCATATGATTGATAAATATTTGGATGCTATCTCTGCCTGTTTGTGCACAGAGGCAAATCCTTCTCTTATCTAAGAACCTGAGAAAGCATGAAGAAGAAGGTCAAAAAGAGATATTTAGGTGCCCAGTGCTGCGCAAAGAGAAAGGCGTACATCATCCCACTTAAGCCCAGGGGCCATCTCAGAAAGCTGGCTTTGACATCTGTGTCTACATAGATATTATTGTCAATATAATTCATGCTAATTGTAGAGGCAACCAGACAGAATTGAATGTTACAAAGTATTAAGAAAATTCCCTCTTCACCCCCACCCCAGTCCCATGCTCCAAATGAAACCACTGTTAGAAGCATTTTGTGTATCTTCTAAAACATTTTCAACACACCTATGAGCGTATAGAATCATTCTCAGCAAACTGACAGAAGAGCAGAAGATCAAACACCGCATGTTCTCACTCATAGGCGGGTGTTGAACAATGAGAACACATGGACACAGGGAGGGGAGCACTACACACTAGGGTCAGTTGGGGGGAAATAGGGGAGGGATGGTGGGGGGTGGGGAGTTGGGGAGAGATAGCAAGGGGAGAGATGCCAGATGTAGGTGATGGGGAGGAAGGCAGCAAATCACACTGCCACGTGTGTACCTATGCAACAGTCTTGCATGTTCTTCACATGTACCCCAAAACCTAAAATGCAATGAAAGAAATAAATGGGAAAAAAAGAATACATATTTCATACACAACACTTTATTTTTTGCAACTGGCTTATTGTGCAGCTTGCATGTTGTTTATTTTTTGAATGAGTCATGTGGAAACAAGTGAATGATGAATATTGGCTTCCCAAGTCGAGGTCACGCAGCTTGTAAGAGCTTTAGGTCGGTTTAAAACCAAGACTTTCTGATGCCAAATCCTGTGTTCTCCACCCCACTGTGGATATGTGTGGGCTTAGTCTTTGAGATCCTAGAGATGGGGTGTGTGGCAGGTCCTGTGAGCTCAGACGTCCCATCTTCTCAGAACTTACCAGATGGAGCCACATTCTCCCCTGATGAGGCCACGATGACCCAGATGAGCTGAAGCCCAGCCTCCCCGGGCATGAGCTCTCAATGGGGTGATATCAACCCCATGGGGAAAACATTGATTCTTGAGGTGTCAAAGACTATGATGGTGTGTGTCAAATGCAGATATGTATACAGTTCATAAATAGATGTGGAGCTTAGCTATGATATTAAAATTTCATATGAAGATATTAAGAAAAAATGTCTAAAAAGGCAACTGTGGAAGGAATGATGAGGACAAAAATTTGAGAATCTCTGCTCCAGAGCCCCCGCAGGAGTGCAGTGGTTCTGACCAGGTCCCCCTGCCCCCTTACTGGGCTTTTGCATCCAACTCTGGAGTTCAGCCATCAGGGCTTGATTTCTGCCTCTCCTATATTCATCACGTGGACTAGGTGAGTTTCTTCACTTCTCCCAGGACTCAGTTTTCTCATCTGTAAAATGGAGGCAATTTGAATGGAGCAAGGGGACTGTAAGAACTCAGCAAGGTAATCCAGTGAAGTGACAGAATAGTGCCAAGCCCTCAAAAAGTGCCCCAGGCCAGGCCCTCTCCATTCTTGGAGGCAAGTGGGGCCTTAGCTCTGCTGCTCTCCCTGGCCTCTTGGCATAGGGCAGCAATCAAATTCTTGATAAGTGCAAACACATGCAAGGGCACAGGAGAGGGAAAGGGAAGTGACTTCTTTTATGCAGACAGGATCTTGCTGTGTTTCCCAGGCTGGACTGCAGTGGTATGATCACGGCTAACTGCAGCCTCAACCTCCTGGGTTCAAGCAGTTCTCTGGTCTCAGCCTCCCAAGTAGTTGGGACCACAGTTACATACCACCATGCCCAGCTAATAAAAAAAATTTTTTTGTAGATATGAGGTCTTGCTATGTTATCAAAGTTGGTCTCAAACTCCTGGCTCAGTCAATCCTCCCATCTCGGCCTCCCAAAGTGCTGAAATTACAGGTGTAAGCCACCATGCTTGGCCAGGAAGTGACATTTGGAGAGCAGTGAGTACTCAGAACAGATGTGTGAGGTGGAAGAAGGCAGCTGGCCTGGTGAGTTTATGAAGGGCTCCACGTACCACATGCTAGGTAGGGGGTGGCACCCAAATCCTAAGGCCCCCAAAGGCTGCTGTGTGGTTCTAGCTTGCCCCCATTAATTATCAGGTAGATCATAAGGAATTTGATACCAAAAATGAGCTACTGAAGTTTGCCAAGTATTTATTGTTTTAAACACAGAAGAGTTCCAAGTCCTTTCTCTGACAACATCATTTTTACTCCACTGAAACTTCCATGCTTTTCTGAGTGAGGAGAAGGATGCTAGCAAGCCCCAAATGTCACACAACTTTGAACTAGACGCTGAATATGTACGGAGTGCCTCCGTCAATAGTTGTGGTGATGGTGAATGTGTGTGGCCTGAAAACGTGCATTTTGCTTTCTCTAAAATCTACAATCACCCGAGGGTAAGAATAGTCCATATGGCAACCACCTTACAGCCACCAGCCTCCAACAAGCACCAGTGGAGCTGAGTTCAGTGCTGGGAACTGCATGAGGAACTTACATGATTCATTTATTGAGTTCTGTCCAAACCCTGTGAGGCAAGTACAATTGCTGTCCCCATTCACAGATGAGAAATGGAGGTACAGAGAAGTCTAGTAACTTGCCCAAGGTCACACTGCAAGCCAGTGGCACAGCTAGGATTTGGACTCCAGCATCTTGTTCAAGAGCCTGCCGCTCCAACACCCACCGGGCTGGTGTGTGCTAGATGTCCTCGTCAGAAAGATCATCCTAGAAGAAGCGGTCTTGGAATAGGAGTTTGGAGCTCAAAAGAGTTAAAAAGGGGCTGGGCATAGTGGTCGATGCCTGTAATCCCAGCTCTTAGAGAGGCAGAGGCAGGAGGATAGCTTGACCCCAGGAGTTTGAGACCTGCCTGGGCAATATAGCGAGACCCCATTCTCCACAAAAAGGAAAAAAAAAAGACCAAAAAAAAAAAAGTTGAAAAGGGGAGTTGTGGTTTCCATTCCTGGGAAGCAGAGACCAAAGGGGCTTGGTGAGGGAGGGCAGGACACAGGAGTGACTCTGTAGCCCAGGAGGGAACCAGGTCCCAGCCTCAATAGGCCTCAAGTGCACAGAGCACAGGCAGCAGTCGCGAACCACCCTGCCTTCTGTGCACACGGCCTGTGTTGGCACCCTATGCTACTGTGTCTTGGCCCTTATCCTCCCTGCAAAGAGAAGATTAAAGGGAGAAGGAAGAGAGATACAATTTCCATAGGGATAAGGCAAAGTACATATTTTTAGAGGGACACAGATGGGTTGGTAGGCGGAGGAAGGTGCAGGGAGAAGCGTTTTGCAGTGTTCACGGAAGGGCCGAGCACGGGTAAGCAGTCCACAAATCCAGCTGGCTGCTCTGATTTTAGACCTTACTAGCTCAGTGATCTCTGCCAGGTCCATGATGAGGCATCTGGGATATGGGGATAAAGATAGGCAGGAGGATAGCTTGAGCCCAGGTGTTTGAGACCTGCCTGGGCAATGTAGCGAGACCCCATTCTCCACAAAAAGGAAAAAAAAAAAAGACAAAAAAAAGTTGAAAAGGGGAGTTGTGGTTTCCATTCCTGGGAAGCAGAGGCCAAAGGGGCTTGGTGAGGGAGGGCAGGACACAGGAGTGGCTCTGTATGCGCTGCATGATTCCTGGCAGGATCCAGTGACACGAGGCTAGGGTCATGCATGTGTTTGGGGCACAAGGTGGAAGCTGTATTTATGATCACTGACCCATAAGGCATGTGCTTAAGGAGGGGCAGAGCAGTATGAGATGGAATCAGTGCTGCCTACGTTTAGATCTCAGCTTCTCCCCTTGCCTCGCAGGCAGGTGGCTCAGCATTTCTGAGCCTTTGTTCCCCCATTTGTAAAAAGGTGGTGATGTTTTGTGCCTGATGTGAGCAGTGAGTGAGTTAATGCATGCAAAATGAGAAGCTGTTAGAAGAAGTCTGGTACATAAGATGTGCCCGGTCAGTATCAGCTACTTTATACTCGAATATGCTTCCATGAATCCAACATATTTGTGAATACATGCTTCACAGATTATAGGGCATCAACACCTTATAGGATCAACGGAGACTGGTTCTCTAGGATGTCCTTGGTTCATTATTCAGCAGTGAGCCTCCTGTGTGTCTGGCACTGCATTGGAGGCACACAAGGAGGCTCTCTCCTCCTAGGCTGGATATATAAAGAATGACATGGCATAGACCCTGCCTTCCCTCATGGTAGGGAAGAGGGCCAGGTAAAAATGCAGCAACCAGCAGGAATCTACCCTGAGTGGGGGAATGTGGTGGGCAGAGGAGGAGACCAACACAGCCTAGGAATTGAAGCTGTGAATTTTTGGCTTAATAGAAACGTGTCTGATCCTCAAAAGGGGGTAGCTAGGAACACTCTTGAGCTGTCTTGTTTTTTTTCCTCTACTGGGATCTTATTGGTTAAATGTATTCGCCAAAACTATGTGCACAATATATGTCTGTGAAGTTGGATAAAACTAGACTTGCAAGCCTCAGTCCTGGAACCTGGAGCAAATGGACCTTCCGTTTTGTAGCTGCATGACTCTGCACAAGCCATTTTTCTTCTCTGTATCTACATCTTTTAAATGGGAGCACGGTGATCTCCTTAGTGGGGGAGTACAAGGAGAGAAGTGTGCGGACGTGCTCCCTAAGTTGAGACCAGCACTGTGGCAGTGTGAGCAATTGTGTGTATGCTGGGTTGTTAGACGGCTTGTTCACTCCTTAACACAGCAACTGAATGGAAGGATGAATAGATGAATGAATGAATGAATCAGTCAATGAACCTGGTCATAATGATTTACTGTGCCTCAGCTGTGGGCACCATTCACCAGGCTAAACTATTTCATGCCCACGGACTCATTTAATTTCACAATAGTATTATGAAATAAATATTACAAGTTCCTTTTAGAAGTTGAGAAGCATCCTCTGAATAAGGAAGTGGTTGACTGAGAGCCACAGTGGTGAAAGTAACAGATTCTGTGTAAAAACAAGTCCACTACATCAGTCTATCTCTTTGTTCCACTGCCCTGCTCTTTGATGTCCTGGCAGGATGATAATCTCTGTTTCTTCCCCAGGGTAAGAATGGATCACCAGGATCTCCAGGAGAGCCTGGCCCCCCAGGAACCCCCGTGAGTACTCTTTGGCTGCTATGTGGTGGCATTGGGGTGAACTTTGAAAGGGCTTGTGGCTCACATTACAGATTGTCTAGCCTCTATCCCATTGGTGGGGACATACGGGTTTGAGTGGTAGAAATAGGTTGGAGGCAAGAGGCTCCATGGGGCCCTTTTTTAAGATTTGAAATACATATGACCATGCTCTTGGCTCTTTGTTGACTGTAACCATAGGCATCTATGGTCTACAACCATAGGCACCCAAAACTATTAAACACTTTTTAAAACAAATGTGCAATGAGGTTGTGGAGCAAAAGTTTGATATTTCCAGAGAATGGGAGGACAGGGTCAGGCTGAGCAACCCTTCCCACCTCGAATGAAGGAAAGTGTGCAGCATGGGAATGGAGGTGGGGACAGCTGTGGGAGACAAAAAGGGTCAACAGGCAGGTAGCAGAGAGAGAGAGCTCAGTTGGCAGATAGTAGAAAGAGGGTGTGTACCAATCAGCAGAGTCCTGGTCAGCTGATAGCAAATGCAGGATTTGGGGTTCAGGCCTGGTGGGTGGGGAGACATGGTGGGAAGATGGTCCTTTAATGGGTTCTAGGATTGGATGAGAAAAACTCCAGCCCTCGTCTCCTTCCAACCTAGTCTTCTTGTGTTTTTACTTGCTAAAATCGGCCACCTGACTCAGAAGACCACTATGAGGTGTGGTGAGTCAAGTATCAATTGTACTGTGCAACAGGTTGACCAGGACTTTGTACTTCGGATACTGCGGTGACCAGCTCACCTCAGTTTGCAAGGAACTTTCCCAGTTGGAAACTCCTGCATCCTGGGAAACCCCCTGGTTACAGGCAAATAGGCATCTGATCAGTGTAGCAGAGGCCCTCCTCTTGCTGGACTAGGGACAGCTGTACAAAAGGCATCCAACTTCCTAGCAAATGAGATGACCTCCCTAAGGGGCTATGGTGTGGGGCCTGTTGCTGCTGGTGAGACAGAAAAGAGGGGTGGGATTGGGTCATGAGGCTGGACCCATCACCTCCCCTTATGCAGAGCTGACCCTGGAAGTACTGACACATGCAGTTGGCTCCCAGAAAAGTTCAAGTTGAAGGATTCCCAAAGGTCTTTCCTGAAATGTGATTCTACGAAGTGAGCCTTGGCTGCCTCATGAGCAGTGGGATGCCATCTCACTAGAGCACTCCTTGGAGGACTCCACACATCTCAGCGTCTTTGTTGAACATCTGTCTCAGTTCGTTTTTGTTGTTTTGAGTGGAAAGACCCTTGGCTGTTTATAGGGAGACCTCTCATCTTCTTCCCCTGCCTAAGACAGCACTACCAGGAAGCCCAAGACCCCGTATCTTTTCCTAAGCGATGCCCCTGCATCATGGGAGGATTTGTGTGTTGTGTGGATGTCTCAGGCCTTTTGAGTTCAGAGTGGTCACAGGTTTCTGAATCTGCTTGAGTTGGTCCACGACCCTGAAGAATTCATTCCCAGTTTTCTCTTTGCAGGGCCAGAAAGGAAATAGAGGAGAAGATGGCAGCCCAGGGCTTCCTGGCTTCCTGGGTCCCCGTGGGCCTCCGGTAAGCAGAGAGCCCCAATGGGGGCCAAGACACCTGGCTCCAGGTTGCGACATTCATGTGCAGTACTTCCCTGCCACCTCCTGTGTCCTTGGTTCTGTCTGCTCAGTCCACAATGACCTGGTGTGAGGTGAAAGTTGCATCATGATTTATGAGACAGCAGCACACTCAGAGATCACACCTGCATGGGAATCTCAGTGCCATTCCTCTTTAATCACGAGATCTTAGGAAAGTGTTGTAACCTCTTAGGCATTAGCTGTCTCCATCATTCAAGTGGGGGATAATGACAGCGTCTACTTCTGAAGATTAAATGAGATCATTCTATAAATGCATCAGCAATGGTTCCTGACCCACTGCAGGTGCTCAATAAATACAAACCGTTGTAACGATGCGTGTGGCGGGACAGTGGTGTTGAACATTATCCTAGAACTTGAAGAACCCTTGGAAATAATTATAGAGATGAGCAAGTTTGAGCCGTAGGGTCAGAACATGTTTGTGATTTACTCAAAGCCACGTGATAGGCTTGCGCTCCACCTTGTCCTTGAGTCAAGGTGTCCTGAGTGGACAGCTTAAGGCAGGGGGAAGCTGTAAGGTAATCTTTGCCAAGTTTCTGGAAAGAGAGATGCTGAGGGATTCAAACGTTTCTAAGTGGAGCCCTCTGGTGTCATCTGCATATTCCAACCCTCGGACTGCTGATCTGATGAGTGAGGCTTGCATGTAACATACAAGAGTAGAGAGCTTACCCATGTTCTTGTCCATCCCCTTCAGTTTAATTCTGACCCCTCTGTGTGCCCCACTGCCAGCCAAGCCCAGTCTGTTGTAGGTGGTAGCCCCCTTACCCTTTTCCACAATGCTGCCCAGGCTTTGCGTGGTCCTGTTGACTGATTTTTATGTGGGCCTACTCACTCCATTGTTAAAGGCCAAGTCTCCTTCTCCATCCCCTTGTTAATAATCTGCTGCCACTGAGCAGCCAGGCTCCCACTCCCAGGGATGTGCTGCAGTGACTGCTCCTGAGTCATGACAACAGCGGGGTGTGTGTCCAGCCCTCACTACGTCCCTGCTGCTGCCTGGCGTGCTTTAGGAGAACAAACACACTGACACCTCACCATCATCCTTGAGGCAGGTACCACCACTGTTCTCATTTTGCAGATGAAGACACTGAGGCACAGAGAGCTTATGGAAGTTGTAGGGAGGTTGTCTGGGGTCACAGAGCCAAACAGTGGAGGAGCCAGGAATTGAACCTGGAGCCCTGTGTCTTATTGGCTTCCTGTTTCACACATTGTAAGCCTGCTTCTCAGAAAGGCCTCCTGACTACAACAGGACTATTTGTAAAACTGATATCCTGGAGGCCCTCCTGGGGGAGTCACACCCATCCCATTGACAAGGAGCTCTTAATCCATGGTTCTCCCTAACCTCGGATGATTTTTTGCCTTCCCATGCACAGGCTGGGCAGAGCGCTTGTCTGGGATGTCCTTGGCCAGGTAGACCATCGATTGTTGTCTTTGCTGGAACATGACTTGAGTGGAAATGTCAGTTTTAAAGATAGTCTTAGTACTGACGTTGGGCTGATGCTGCAAAGCCAGTGATACTCTGTTCTGTTTTACAGGGAGAACCAGGAGAGAAAGGAGTGCCAGGCAAGGAGGTAAGTATCACACACACACTCACCGCTTGGCAACCCTTTCCTGCGGGTGGGCAGTCTGTGCGGGCTCAGGCCCTGGGCTTAGAAAGGCCCTACACTTGCTTTAACGCTCTCTACCCTCACTGTCTTGAAATCCTTAATGTCTTTTGAACAATTTCCTCATGTTTTAATTTTGCACAGAGCCCCATAAATTATGTAGCCAGTGCAGGGGCACCGTCTTGATAGGTCTGTTTCACTGGTTTAATCCCTCAGATCCAAACTGTCAACAAATCCTGTCAACTCTGACTTCAAAATATCTGTTGGTTTTGTCCAGTTCTCTCTGTCTCTGCCACTGGGACACTAATTCAATGTGTCATCCGCTCTCACTTGAACACTGCAGCGATCCCCTAATGGATCTCCCTTCGTCCAGCCTTGCTGCTCCGCAGTCCTCTGCCCGGCAGACGGAGGGTCTGCAGAACATAAGGCTGTGGAGATGCCGCAGTGCGACCTGCAGGTCTGCCCTTCCCCTGCACGCTCCGTGGAATCCTGGCTGCCCCAGTACCACCACTCCCCTCCTTCTCTAAGATCCAGTCACTCTGGCCTTTTCCTGAGACACGCCAAGTCCTTTTCCAAGGGCCCTCTTTTCCCATGCTTATTCCTATTCCTCCAGAGGTCTCAGCTAAAATGTTGCTTTTGCCAACTTCCCTTGACCACTGAAGCAAAGCAGACCCCCCACAATGCTTGGTTTTAGCACCCTGCTGTGTTCTGCTGTAGCCCATCAGACCAACACAGACTAGATAACAAAAATATTTGATGAGAGATGAACAGAAGAATGATTGAACGCAGAGAAAGTAGGTCTCTGGGGATTAGCTTCTCCGTTTCAAAGTCTGCATCTTCTGACTTGAATGAGGAAGATGCGTTTTTACCCTGTGCCTTTGGGTCACCTCCTTGAAGCTGGATCGGATAGCTTCATATTCAGAAAGTGTTTGCTCCTTGCCTCAGCCATAGGGTGTCACTCACTGGGTATTATTCACTCACTGTCCAATCACTGTTTCCTCTGCTTCCTGGATTGGGATGAAGGGGAAAAACCCATAGTTCCCATTTCTGAGGGAGTTTGTACTTGGGCTCCTGCCTACACAGATTCTCTGTGGACTTTCCGCATAAATTCCAGGCTAAGCAGGCATCCCAGGTCTTACTAATCTGATCCAGCTCTCCTCTTAGAATGGGAGCCTCCTGCTTCCCCATGCCCAGTATGTCCCCACCTTCTCCCATCCAAGGCTGGGTCTTCACTCTTGCACCCACCTAGAGCACCTATCCTGCCACCTTTTGTTGTTAAATTTTATCCAACTTTCAAGGCTGTGTGATTCCCAACTTACAGAATCATGCTCTTCCACTCAGGAATACTGAGGCACCTTTGGGTACTTATTTACAGAAATTAAATCAGTCTGCCTGTGTTAGAATCAACTCACACCCACCTCCTTCTCATGGACAGGCTGTGGACTCTGTGAGAATGAGGACCATGTCTCACCCCTGCCCTCTGCATAGGTCACAGGGCTGAACATGGTACCCACATGAAAAGGATGCAATGAATGCTTCTGAAGCTGAAATGGCCAGGCTCCAAAGAGCTCAAGAGTACTTTCTTGACTTTCTTCATTTGAATCAATGTAGAGCCTATCAACCAGATGATAGCACAAGAGCCCCTGAGCTGAATTTCCTTCCCCAATAGCAAGCTCCGCTTTCCACATGCGTGCTAAGCGGCAGACAGACAAGCATATGCTGGTCATCATATCTGGGGAGAAAGAAAGTTAGATGTCAGCTGGCAGGAAAGTAACCCATGCATGAGGATGGACACTGGCCAGAGGGATTAGCCAATGCTTTGCAGAGGAGATGGCAGAGGAGCTGGGGGCAAAGAGGGAGCAAAGAGACGTTCCAGGTGGAGAGAATGACAGAAGCAGTGGGGACTGCGGCTGTGTCTTTTGTTCCCTGATGTGACTGCCCTCCAGGAGGGGATAAGGACTGTGGGAACATAGAAGAGGGCCACTTCTCTAAATGGTCAGGGAGGGCTTCCTGAAGAGGAGGCCTGCAGGCCAGGTGGGCAGTAGGTATCTGGACAGAGAGGTGAGGAGCATGCTGCAGGCTCAGAGAAAATGAGGAGCAGAGGCCGTGAGCCCACAGAACCGTCTGTCCCCTACACTAGAGCCATCCAGCAGTGACAGCCTGTTAAAGACAATGCATGCATTGCCTCCTGGGCATGTTAAAGGAAGTGGGATTCACCCCACAAGAAGTAGGGGAGGAATGTGGAGTGGCCAACCAGGGGCTGGTGCCATCAGTCTAAGGCAGACAGTGGCAGGAGAAAAACAAAGAAGACACGGTGTGCCACCCCCCCCACACACACATACATACTGTGTAGGCAGAAATCAGAAGGGAGCCCTCGGGAAACCTTATCTTTTGAGGATCCCTTGTCATCAGCATGCAGGACTGTGAAGAAGAGCCAGGGAGGCAAGGACGCCAGTGCTGAGGGCCTGGGGCAATGACTGTCCTTCTTTCTTATTGCAGGGGTCCCCTGGGAAGCCTGGAGAGCCTGGAGCCAAAGGAGAAAGGGTGAGTGGGGAGCACAGGTACCTTGAACACGCAGAATGTGACCATTGCACAATGCCCGTGGGGTGCTGAGGCTGGCCTCTGTCCAAGGCAGTTAGGGAACACCCGCCTGGATCACGCTGCCTGCCGTGGTTTTGTTCACTTTTTCATGGGTGATTACCAGCCCCACAAAGGGAGGTTCTTTTCCCACCAGTACTGTTTGTAGTTGATGTTATTATTTCTTTTCTTTCTTTCTTTCTTTTTTTGGTTGTTAGTTTAAGAAGTAAAATCATCACAATTAGAAATTCAAAGGCAAGCCTTGGGAGACATTGACAGATTTCTTTCTCCCCATGTGCGAATGCCCGCCGAGACGGGCTCAGCTCCCGAAGTACCAATTTGCCGGGAGCCAAATTTGTCGCTGAAGGTGACAAGGGAACAGATTTTCCCATAATGAATTGCCTTGGCGTTACACTCAAAAAGCCTTTCTTTACATTTCATTTCTCCAAAAAACAACAGGGGGAAAGACTTTTTTTTTCTTCTTTTTCTTTCTGGTTTTGCTGAAGAGCCCGTGGAAGGCGGGCACGTTCTCACACTCACGACTGCTGCTCCCTTTGGAGGCTTTATGCGTCTCGTTTGCCCACAATCCTGCGTTTGGTCAGCCTCACGCTGTCACACTGTTGCACGACACAGACACGGGCATCCCAGGCACCCACAGCCCGCCTCCGCTTGTTTCTCATGGTCCTGAAAAGAATTTATCTCGGCTTTCTTCGCAAGTGGGGTGGGTGGGGAGCCGGCTGGCTTCTCCCACAGCCAGAGTGAGAAATGTGGGGGCAGTGTCTCAGGGATTCTCCCCCCTGGATCTTCCTCCTGTCTCCTTCCCATGACTTTGATTCCTGTATCCCGTGGCTGTTGGTTCCTGAGCGATGGAGCCAGGGACGGGAGGACATGTGGCTGAGAAGGCGTTGATGTCCCTCCCGCCCCCTGAGAATGCAACTCAGGTGCCCGTGGGAGCTACTGCCGTAGGATATGGGCTTGAATTTTGGTTGAGAGCCAAGGAACACAGACCACCAATGGCATCTCTTCTTTAATGCCTAATCAATACGCAGAGAGCTTGCCTTTCCCCTGTTAAGTGCTTTCGTGGCACATTGCCAGGGAGCCATTAGATTACCCTTTCCTTGGTACTTCTGGGAACATTTGAAATATGGGACAAGTCCTGTCACCACAAAGTAATTGCAAGACCTTTAATGAGTAGAAAATGCTGTGCCACATGTGCTGCAGGGCCTTGGCATCCAGGTGTACACACGCCAGGACTTTCTTTAATAGACCCCTGAATTCAAGATCGCCGACAGAGATCACAACATCCCGTGAAATGTGTCACGCCTGGAAAATTGAAGTGACTTCCTTGGATCTAACTAAATTATTATTTTTGAATTTACTGCCTTTGGGTTATTGTTGAAATATTAAAAGCAATGCAGGTACATTGTTAAATGGTGAAAACTGCAGGACAAGTGAATGTGATGCAAATCATGCACCCCTTGCATTTCATCCCTTAGCCCCGTCCCCTCTCCAGGGTCTGTCACAGTGCTTTTGCTTTTTATCTTTCCAGAGGGAGTCTGTGCACACAGAGCTGTGTGTGCCGTGTGTTATAAATGTGCATTTACCTTGTGTTTACCCCCTCCCCGCTCTGAGCATATCATACCGTGTCTATTATTTCACTCCTGGCATTTTTCATTTAAGTGCGTATGTTAGAGATGTTGGTGACTGCACCATTTTTCTTTTCTGTGGCCCTGGGTCATGTCCACAGCCATGCTGCACATTTACAGTTACCATCTGCTATCTTTTCTTTTCTCCCTGTGCCTCCCTCTCTCTGCTACATCCCAGCAATGGAGTTCCGTTATCTCTGAGGCCATTAATGTGACTGCCATATTTTCAGACCAACCAGCCATTTGAACTTGATGGACAAACACACAGTAGTGCATAAAGTCAGAGGACTGGACTGCCGGGGCTTGCCGTAAACTCCCAAGTCATTGGTCCAGCACTTCCAACTCTGGGCCAGCTGTGGGGAGAAATGAGCCCTAGGCAGTGTTGGAGGCCATTGGATAATCCTCTGTGAACTCCCTAGAGCTGAGAGAAAGGAATGGGAGATGACCTGGGAGGGAGACACCTCGCTGAGAGAGGGCCACTGACTCTCTAGCTGACAGAGAGCAACACCAGGCCAGAAAGGGGCCAGCGGCTCCTCCAGCAGTCTCTGCCAGGACCGTCCTTCTGCAGGCAGCCTGAGGAGCTGCACTCTTGGGATTGAGAACAGGATTGGAATTGAGCAATCAACGTTCTCATCCTGTTCCATGTAGACTCCCTTGTGTGACCATGGGCTGGTGGATTTCTATCTCTGGGCCCTGAATGTTTTCTTTTTTCTTTTTCTTTCTGTCTTTCTGTCTTTTTTTTTTTTTTTTTTTTCCTTAAACAGAGTCTCACTCTATCAAGCAGGCTGGAGTGCAGCGGCATGATCATACTTCACTGCTGTCTCAAACTCCTGGCCTCAGGCAATCTTCCTACCTCAGCCTTCTGAGTAACTAGGACTATAGGCAATTGCCACTGTGGCTGGCTACTTTTTAAGAAAATTATTTCTGCTAGTAATGGGTCGGAACATCTTGCCCAGGCTGCCCATGTTTTCATTTCAGGATGCTGCATGTGATGGATTCTGGGGCTCTTCTCACCCCAAGCCACACGTGGGCCACCCAGGGCCAAGGGCTCCCTTTCAGTGATCTAAGAGGCAGACTGGGGGAATCCCTTTTGCAGCTGCCGGGGGTATAGGTTCCAGCCCTAAGAAACATGCTAATATGCTTCTCTCCTCCTTAGGGAGACCCTGGGATCAAAGGTGACAAGGGGCCTCCTGGTGGAAAGGGCCAGCCAGGGGACCCTGGAATCCCAGGCCACAAAGGCCACACAGGCCTGATGGGTCCCCAAGGACCACCTGGGGAGAACGGACCGGCTGGGCCCCCAGGGCCTCCAGGCCAACCGGGATTTCCAGGACTGAGGGTAAGGATGTTAATGTGGCTTTGAACTTGGGGCTCCTCTGGGCCTAAGGGGAAGCCAAGGAAGTGTGTGGACTTCAGAGACATCAGGTTATAGATCCCAGTCTTCCAGTGACTGAAGGTGTGACCTGGGTGGTCTACTCTTCCTCTCTGAATCTGCCCTTCTTTGTCTGCTAAAAGGGAAAACAAAATCCTCTTCTGACTGATGATGATTAAGTGAAATAACATGCCTAGATTAAGAAATCTCAAAAATGGGTCCCTCTTCTGTTCAACCCTGTTTCTCAGTGATAATGAATCCCAAAGACTTCATTTCTTAGACTGTAGAACTCTTCTGCTCGGGACCTTGTACAAAACGTGTTTGAGAAGACACCCAGCCCCCAGTGGTCTGAACGTCATTGTGGGATGATTCACCACCCATTTGAAGCCTGGCTTTGCCACTCTTGTATCTGGCTGAAATCCCAGGCCACAAAGGCCACACAGGCCTGATGGGTCCCCAGGGACCCATCTAAAGTACTTCTTCTCATTGCATCTCTCTCTCCTTTTCTTTTCGTGTTTTTTTTTTTTTTTTTTTTTTTTTTTTTTTTTTTTTTTTTTTTTTTTTTTTTTTTTTTTATGAAACAAAGTTTTGTTCTTGTTGCCTAGGCTGGCGTGCAGTGACGTGATCTCAGCTCACTGCAACCTCCACCTCCCAGGTTCAAGTGATTCCCTGCCTCAGCTTCCTGAGTAGCTGGAGTTACAGGCACACACCACCATGCCTAGCCAATTTTTATATTTTTATTAGAGATGAGATTTCACCATATTGGTCAGTCTAGTCTCGAACTCCTGACCTTGTGATCCACCTGCCTCAGCCTCCCAAAGTGCTGGGATTACACGAATGAGCCACCGCGCCCAGCCTGCATCTGTCTTTTTCCAAAGCTGGAAACAAGGGCTTATTTGGAGTGGTGTTTTTTTCTTTCTTTAAACATCCTTTATCCTAGTGGCAGAACTTTCATTTTACTCAACCTCATGACACAAGCATGCATGGGCTATAAAAAGATGAACGCAGAGCTCCCCTGCTGGAAGTCCGTGTGACCACTCCCTCCTGCTCAGCAGCCCATATGGTCTTCTGGAGACCCTTGTATTCCGCAGAGCACAGGTCTGGATGACCTCCATGTCCCTGCCAGTTCTGATGCTGTGCAGTTGGGTCAGTTCCTGGTGGCTGTGGTCAGCCTGGGTTTCAGCTGTCCTGAAAGATGCCAGGCAGCCAGAGCCCTGAGTGCCAGCCTAACGCACTCAGTTGGCTTCCAAAGCCCCCTTGGAGTCTTGCCAAGTTCTGCCAGTCCTGCTGCTATTGGGCAGTGATGAGAATTTGGGGACTATCATAAAAGATTCTTGGTCAGAAAAAAAGAATAAGGAAATGGAATCTATCTCATGCCAGGTGTGGGGCTATAGTAAGACCCCTGCTCTTGAGGGGTAGACACTGCCCTGAAACTGTCAGATAGGAAGGGCAGTGACAGTTTCCAGCTCTGAGAGCCTGTGGACAGCTTCTCTAGGTTCTCCTCAGAATCACATGACGCTGTGTGAGCTTGGATTGGTAAACTCATCAGCTTCTGTGGACCGAGCACCAGAGTTTAGTCAGAAAGTTGTTTAGAGCCACAGTGGACATAAGCAGGGAAAGCCAGACCCCAGGAACTGGGGCAGCCAGGTGGCCAGGTTGGGGAATCAAACTTGAGTTCACATCGAAGGCAGCCTATAGGCTGTGTCCAAAAGGTGGACACAACTTTGGCAGGGAGAGAGTAGGGACCAGACCTCCCAGGTCCAGGGCTAAGAAGGGTGTGTGAGTGGAATTAATGGGCACAGTGGCCTGAGCAGGAAGGAAATCCAGTGAATAAGCTGGAAAGGCATGGCAGGAAGGGCAGCAGTAGCTGAGGGAGGCTCAGGGCCCAGGTTGCTCTGTAAAGGGGATGATGCTGCCTGTGGAACAGAGAAGGGAGGAAGGGATTCGAGAAGTGGAAAAGATTGGGCTAGAAAGATGTGCGTCCCTGTGTAGGTATATACTTCCCACAAACTTCCTGGCTTCCCAAGTCCTCAGGGTTCTTAAATGGCAGAAGTTACTGGGAAGATAAATAACTCCACCTTCCCTCCCTCCTAGGGGGAGTCTCCGTCCATGGAAACCCTGCGTCGCCTTATTCAAGAAGAGCTGGGGAAGCAGCTTGAAAGTGAGTATCTGGACTGTGTTAAGGTCTTGCAGAGAAGAGCCCAGGAAGCAGTCCCTTCATTCAGCCTTGAATGCTTTCACATCCTGGAGTAAGAAAAGCACTTGACTAGCAGCTCAAGTGTAGGCTCTCAGGGTTGTGGAACTCCCTGAAGACTCTGTTCTATCCTTTATCTGACACAGACTTTCTCTAGGAATTGTTCTTCAGCTTTCACTTGATTACGTCTAGTGAAGGAGAGCTCACTATCTACAAAACAGCTCTTCTCTGATCAATCATTTATTCTAAGCATAGAGTCATGTATCTAGTCTGTAAATAATTTTGGCTATTTACTGCTATGAGCCTCATGAAACTCACAGTCCAGAGGAGGAAGCAGATAAACAAATAGGATGACTTTAGAGAAGTCAGAAAAGTTATTTCATTTTATTTGTCACAGCAGGCATTAAAAGAGGACAGATGAACATACCTAAGATAGTTCAGAGGCCAGGGAATAGATGAGTGAAGGCTTCCTGGAGGAGGGGCCCTGTGAGCTGCAAGCTGAAAGATGAAACATGACCCCAGATCTATGGAGCAACATGTGTGCAGGCCTTGAGGGGAGCAGGCAGGCAGAGTGCTTTCAAGGAACTAACATCCTTTCAGTCCTGCTGCACTGAGTCGTTGTTAAGTCACCAGGTCTAGCATGTGCCCATGTGTAGCAGATGCTTAGGGAGGGAGAAAGGTGGGAGGGTGGCAGTAATCATGCCAGCGTGTCGGCATTTGCCAAGGTCAGCTGACGTTCTCAGCATTTGCAAGTGTTAACCCGCAGAAGCCCCCACACCACCTCATGAGGCTCATGTAATTGTTGTAAGAATTGTTAGAAGCAACATTATTAGGAGTTAAGTAACTCACTTAAGGTTGGTAAGCTGGGAAGATCTGGCCAGGATTTCCACCTGGGCAGCTTCACTAAAGGTTCTGTGCTCTTCATCCTCTTCATCACCAAGCTCTCTTGAACAACAGCCATTCCTATTCCCTCTGCAATGGGAAATTGGAGGAAAAGAAAGTCACACAAAATCTTGTTGCAGCAAAGAAGAGAAATTCGTAACTACTCTCCAGGAGCACAAGGACAAAGGGGGAGGGCACGTTTATTCACGTGATCATGTCTCCATCATTTTGTACCTCCCATTGTGAGATTCTGTGCTGTGAGCAAGGACACAGCTGTAAACAGGATGGCCCTCCTTCCTGTGTTCTTGAGTGTCCAGGGGAACACAGTCCATTTCCATACAGGAAAAAGACTGTGTTCTTTTTCCTACATGGAAATGAGAGCAAAGGACTGTTTTCTGGAGCAGACAGCTAGGAGTGGGTTTTGGGTGGGAGAAGGAGGCCATGAGGAAAATAAGGACCAGATTGGCGGGTACCATGGGTGGGTGGTGTTCTGAGGCCTCATGTGTGTAGATCTCTGAGTTCAACCTTCTGATGCTGGATTCCTCAGTGACAGATGTGACCTTTGCTTTTAAGGGATCTCTAGCCAAAGAGTAGAGACAAGACCCGTTTGGAATTGGGTTGGAGAGAGAATCTGCTGGGCTGAGTCCTTTCTTCCAAACAGGGCTTTGAGGAAGGAGCATCCACTCCACTTTAAAGATGAGAAAATCAAGGCTCAGAGAAGTTGAGTAATTTGTCAAGATCACAGGAGTGGACCACCTGCCCTCCTGCTACCTTGTGAGAGGATCAGTATGGAGGAGACACTCTGGGAAGTGATCAACCAGGCAGTCAGAAGAACCTGACTCCACCTTGGTTTCACTACCGAACACCTGGGGCCTTGAGTAGCCTCCCAGCCTCTGGTCTTGGTCACACTGTTGGCAACATAGGGGTTTGAGCCTAATTACTTATGACTGCATGACAAACAAGGACTGCCCATCGTGGCCACCAGGTGGGCACTATATCCCCTGTCCCACTGAAGGGCTGCCAAACCAGCACTGGACCTCTGGGTTTTTAAATCAGTTCTGTCATCTTCACATTTTAGATGTATAAGATCTTCAGTGACTGTCATGTCCAGCTATTTAGCTTATAGATTGGGAATTTGACATTGGAGAGAAAAAGTGACTAACATAGCTTTGTGTAAGCCACTCACCTCCTCCACCCCAGCGTCCGTGTCCCCAACTGACCATTACAGTTGCTGCTGCTGCTATTGCTGTCCCTGCCACTATGGCTTCCATTGTTCTGACCCGGTCGTAGCAGTCAGCATCTCCTGAGCACTTGGCAAGTACCAGGCACTATTCCACATGCATCATCTCATTTGCTCCATCCTCATTTTAGCCCCTTGGGGTAGGTGCTGTTTCATTGTCTCCATTGCATAGAAAGGGATACCAAGGCTGATAATGGTCAAAGAGCTTGCTCAAGGTCACCTGGCTGGTCGTGGCCGCCCTGGGATCCCAGCCTAGGCAGACTTGCTCCAGGGACAGTGATGATCACTACTGATTGTCACCCCGTGGCCAGCCAGTCAGAATGTGCCCACACAAATGCTGCACGTGGGCCATGTGACGTGTCATTGATGTTGTCTCTGCAGCTGTTATTGTCCCCTTGGTTCTGAGTAGCCACCCTGTCCTGTGTCCTATGTCCACTATCTATTCTTCATGAAATGCCTCTCTTTTTCCTTCTCCACAGCCAAACTCGCCTACCTCCTGGCCCAGATGCCCCCAGCACACATGAAGGCATCTCAAGGCAGACCTGGGCCCCCAGGGCCCCCTGGAAAAGATGGACTTCCAGGCCGGACCGGCCCCATGGGGGAGCCAGGTCGTCCTGGGCAGGGGGGTCTGGAAGGACCCTCTGGACCCATAGGTCCCAAAGGTGAGTGAAGACCTGGAGAGGATGTTCTCCATATACTCCAGGAGGGTGGAGAAGGAACAGGGCTGGGAGGTGGCATTGCATCCGAGCATGCATTATTCATGCCACTGTCATTCCCTGCAGCTTGGTAACATCAGGAGTTTTGGCATCATATAATTTTATCATATGCGTAAGAGGCTTTCAATCTTGACATTTTTACAAAATTATGCTTCTGCTAGGAAGATTGATTCCGTTCCCTCCTACTTTCTTGTTCTCTCTCCATCTCCGCTGCTCAAGTTTCAGGGAGGTAAACAACATGCCTCCTTCCTCCCCTACCAAGTTTAGCATTGAGGAATAAGACATTTAATCTCCATTGAGATTAAATGTCAGCCTGAAAATTGGAATAAAACAGCTGCTAACTGCCCAGCTCTTGGAGCAGTGACTTAGCAGGACATCAGAGCTCTGGCCAACAGAAGGTCTCTCCTTCAAAGGGCAGAGGCTGTCCCATTTAACTCATCACACAGTGGCAAACAGGCCAGGACACTCACTCTCTCTGCAGGAAGACAGATGTGAAAGACAGGGGAAGGACTGAAAAATAAATTTAGGCCAGGTGCGATGGCTCATGCCTGTAATCCCAGCACTTTGGGAGGCTGAGGCAGGTGGATCACGAGATCAGAAGTTCGAGATCAGCCTGGCCAATGTGGTGAAAAATACATACTATACTCATCTATACTAAAAAATACAAAAATTAGCTGAGTGTGGTGGCATGTGCCTGTAGTCTCAGCTACTCGGGAGGCTGAGGCAGGAGAATCTCTTGAACCAGGGAGGTGAAGGTTGCAGTGAGCCAGATTGCACCACTACACATCAGCCTAGGCAACAGAGTGAGACTCCATATCAAAATAAATAAATAAGTAAATATATTTTAAAACATTTTTTAAAAAATAACAGGTTTTTTTTTTTAAATTTTACACCAAGTTCTCGGATACGTGTGCTGAAAGTGCAGGTTTCATACATAGGTATATATGTGCCATGGTAATTTGCTACACCTATTAACTTGTCATTTAGGTTTTAAGCCCTACAGGCATTAGGTATTTGTCCTGATGCTCTCCCTCCCCTCGCCCCACAACCACTGACAGCCTCCAGTGTGTGTTGTTCCCCTCCCTGTGTCTGTGTGTTCTCATTGTTCAACTCCTAGTTATGAGTGAGAAGATGCGGTGTTTGGTTTTCTGTTCCTGTGTCAGTTTGCTGAGAATGATGGTTTCTAGCTTCATCCATGTCCCTGCAAAGGACATGAACTCATTCTTTTATATGGCTGCATAGTATTCCGTGGTGTATATGTGCCACATTTTCTTTATCCAGTCTATCAGTGATGGGCATTTGGGTTGGTTCCAAGTCTTTGCTGTTATAAATACTGCTGCAATACACATATGTGTGCCTGTGTTATATAGTAGAGTGTTTATAAAAGATTGTTTTAAAATAATATTTTCTCTGCCTTTTTAAAGCTTTCCTGCTTTCAAATGGCTTATAAAATTAATAGTAATTTTTGAATAAGGCAATTTCAAATAAAGATAAAAAGACAGGACACCAGCCTCATAGTTCATTCCTGTCTGATGAGGAATAAGAATGGGTTGTGGAAAGGAGCATGTGGTGTCATTTTAGCTGCTCTGGGGTGACTTGGAGTCAGGGACATGGATGCCCCTAGCACTGTGCTCTTTTCATTTCCCACTTTCTTACTAATTCTTAATCTGCTTATCCATTTCCTGTCATGTTGCTCCTACTTGAAAGGCCTTTTCTTAAATCTGTAGATTTAGTCCTACTCATATGATTTCATAAAACAAAATATATGAAATAAATGTCAATAAGAAAGCACAGAGAACATCAGATTGTGGTAGAATCTGACCAAATGTAATTATTATAACAATGAAAACGAATGGTCTGAAGTCCCTGTGAGCCAGCAGAATTTCAATAGGGATTACAAAAGAAAATATATCACAGCAGCAGATATTCTGGAAACAATATGGCAAAACAAGTGATTGATTCAAAAAAACAAGGGAGAGAGACAGTTTAATCAAATCTCTATGAACTTCATTCAAATATGATCTCAAGTATCTTCTCAGGGGAGGTAGATCACTCCCTCCTCTACATGTCTGTGGTGTTTTTTAAAATTCCTATGATGATACTTGCCACATTCTGTCTCATGCTAGAATGTTCTTCATGCCCTATTTTATTTCTCTTATTAAATTTCAAGCTTCTTGAGAATAGAGCCATGTCTTACTTATCACTGCCCATGTCCATGTGCATGTTGAATTTGTTATATATTATCCAGTTTCTTCTTGATAAAGGTTCACATACAATACCTGGAAAACACAGGAAGCATAGACATATAAGAGGAGATGCATGCAAACTTATGTGTGTATGGCATGTGAGGGAGAGTGTGAGGGCATGTACATTTGGCTGTGTGAATGAGTCAGTATGTGTATATGAGTGTATGTATACAGTTGTTAATATGGTTTGAATGTATAGATGTATGTATGGAATTGGGTAGATGTGTGCTTGAACAAATGTTCATGTGTAAATATGTAAAGGAGGCAGTGTTCATGTATTCTGGTGATCCGACATGTACTTCTGAATGTGAGTGTGTGCTGGTGGAGTGTGTGAATGAGTGTGTCAATGGGAATTGGGGGTACTATGTTGAGTGAGTGTGTGTGCACAGAGTGGTTTATAGACTGGAACCCCGCAGCAGCCCAGTGTCAGACCTGTACATCCCACAAGGTGGAACGCCCAGTTTCTGTCCTCCTTGTGGATCTCTACCATCAAAAGTGCATATTTTTCTTCCCAGGTGAACGAGGAGCCAAAGGTGACCCAGGTGCACCTGGGGTTGGCCTCCGAGGCGAGATGGGACCCCCTGGAATCCCAGGTATGACTCATTCTGGAGTGTGAGGGTTAGGGTGTGAACTACCATGGAGACCCTGCACTCCTGCCCGTGGCCCCACAGGACTCAGCAGTGAGTGGAGAGGAAGGGTTATTGTAGTGTATTCTGTGATTTGTTGAAGTGTATCCCATGAATTTAAAATTCCATGAAATGATCCTGGAGGAAAACAAAACAAAACAAAACAAAACAAAACTGACCTGGGCTAAATCAGGAACTGCTGGGGACTGTGTTGCTCTTTCAGACATTTCTGGTGCACATTCACTGTCATAAGTGCTAAGGACTCTAGCATTAAAAAATGTGTCTCTTTTGTTTAACCTAGCACTTTTGAAATTCACTTGAAAGAGAAGTCCTTTTTCCTTCACTATGCAGTTGTTAATATCCTTTTAGTGTTTCTCAGAATGTTCTTTGGGGAATGCTCACCCAGTGGTAGGGTGGTTAGCCGTCCCAGGACTGAGGACATTTGTGGGACTGGAGAATTTTTAGTTTTAAAACTAAGACATGACTTGAGAAAACTGGGACAAATTGGTCATTCTACGCAGTGGCTGTTGGAAGATCTCTACAATGCAGCATTAGTCACATTCCAAAATTAGGTGTATACATATAAGGTGGAAGAAATTTGACTATTGAGGCTTCTATTTTTTATTTAAGTCTAATTTATGTGTTTGCTAGAGGTCATATACGAATATTGGCCTTATAGAGAATTTCAATTTTAGTATTTATACCTTCATGATTTTACAAATTTTCTAAAGTAGACATTTATTATTGTTTTCATTAGAGAAGATAATTAGAAATATATTATAAATATTTTTATGGCTCACCTGTTTTCAAATAGCTTATAATATTAAGAATAATTTTTAAAACAAGGCAATTTTAAATAAAGAATAAATGGCAGAACAGGAGCTATTTAAAAGGAAGAAGTCACTGCCCCAGTGTGAAGGTGAGATAATTATTACATTTCATTGGTTCTCAGCCCAAGGAATGAATAACACTGAGGCCTCAAAACTTGATCTAGGCAGGACCATCGATTAAATAGCTATTACCAAAGCATTAATAGAGTTAATGAAATATCTATAGATCTTTTTAACTGAAAAGTTTACTTTGTGTTTATTTTGTATGGGATTTTCTGACGAGATGATTACTAAGGCTTAAGAAGCCATGTCACTACTGGGGTTAACCACAAGACTTAGGACTGACCTTCCAAGTTGCCAAAGCTAAAAAGAAAGATAAGTCGATTATAGACGATGTTATGATGCTTACTAAGTGGAGAGGTCGAAGTTTGTGTATAGGCAATATTTTCTGGATCTCAATTTTGGACTATCAAAGTATCAGTTACTTGCATCCTAGATGATATCTTTGGCCATGATTTTCCAGAATAGGTTAATGTAATCCAAATATGTGGTTCAAATTTAACATGTAGATAAAGCTGAGAAAATACAGTTGGATGTTGAGTAATAGAATGTCATCGGGTATCTCTAAGGCCATGTGAATTGGTGCTGATGGTTAATGATCAGGAATTGGTGTCTACTCTCCATTCAGACATGTTTCTTGGACCCATGTAAGAAACCAGAAGGCCAAGTCTCTCATCTGAGTCTCAAGTAGAGAACATATCTCCTGCCTGGTCTCAATCTACCCTTGTTTCTTTCTTTCTAGTGGTACCTGGATTACTATCCCAGGTCAAATAGTTAAAGCAACCCCTTCTTCTACATATTGAGGTGCTCCTGCTACCTGGTGTTTGTGTAGACCACTAATCACTCAGAGCTCCTAGACTGTGGGGATGTTCTGTCTGAGGACATTTGAAGTCCTGAGTTCATAGTGAATGGAAGCTGTGAGATCAGGGCCCATTCAATCCCAGGAGGATCTTGAACCATCTTCTGTTTCTTTTGCTCCTTGGGCCAGGTCAACCTGGAGAACCTGGCTATGCTAAAGATGGACTTCCTGGGATCCCTGGCCCTCAAGGGGAGACAGGACCAGCTGGACATCCTGGCCCCCCAGGACCCCCCGGTCCTCCAGGCCAGTGTGACCCTTCCCAGTGTGCCTACTTTGCCAGCCTTGCTGCCCGGCCGAGTAACGTGAAGGGTCCCTAGAGGACTCTGGAAAGCCAGAAGACTGCAGTGGATTTCTGAAACTTGAACTCAGAGCCCAATGGGAAGCCAGAGGTCTTGAAAGACTTCAGCCATGTGTTCCTTTTTTTTCCTTTCTTTTATCATTTGCTTTTTGTTTTATTTTCTTGAGAGACCTCAAAATTATTAAATCCAACAGATGCTGCCGGTCGGTCAGATTATTATTAATATTATTGTTGTTAATTATTATTATTATTATTTCATATGCTGATGCTTTGTGAGCTCGTTTTCACTCCTTTAAAGTTGGGAAAACTTGATTCGTGGGGCAGGAGACTGTTTCTTCTTTCTTCTGACAGCTCCCATCTGAAATGCAACTGCCCATTTTAAGGAAACTCTTGGTGCTACAAAACCCTGACCAGACACTTGACAAATTTACCTCTTTCTTCAAAAGAAAAACTTTAAGAAAATGAGACAATGGGCTTCATTCTCAATCATGCCCAGAAATCACCCAGGGAGAAATAATACAAATGCTGCCACTTTCCAGAGAGGGAAAGGAAGCAGGGAGAGAAAGAATTTACAACAGAGAGGAATGTTCCCACCTCCCTCCTGGTGGGAAGTGCATTTGGAGAACACAGAATCAGCCCTCAGGCTGCACTCCAGCCACCTCAGGGCTTCAAGCTCACAGGAGTGAAATAATGTCTGTGGGTTGGCAAAGGCTTTGCGGGATCTTATGTCTTGGCCAAAGATGGGAAAACCCATGTTGAAGAGGCAGCCTTTGAGTGTTAATTTGTCTTCTAAACTGTGGGTAAGATCCCTTCAAGTTCCTCTTGTTGGTTTCAATTATATTAATTATATAACAAGCAGATGTGATGACCATCCACTTGTGTTTCCCTAATGGCGGGCAGTTGGCAGGGCACTGACCAGAGCTGGGAAATTTGTGTCTCCAGGGCTCTGTCTCTGAAATAAATGTCATCAAGTGCACATGTGTGTGTGACATGCCCTGCTTGAACAGGTGCTCAATAAATCCAAGTTTCCTTCTCCTGAGTTCCTCTTGATTGATTTCTTATATTCAGCATCCACCTGAATGTGAACTCATCAAGCATTGGGATGTATCTTTTTCTTCCGTGAGCCACAGCACAGAGTCCACGTGTTCAGCTCACATGGTGAATGAACAAGGGAGTGAATGTGTGTGCCTGACTGAGTTAGTCCAGGGTCATTCATTAGCCTGCTCTTCACTGAAACAGCCCCGGATGTTAGGCTATGGAAGCAGCCATTTAGATGCGCACATTTCTGTGGGATCACAGTGGGGAGCTAGTGAAGCAAGTCAGAAGGTGCTAGCAGGACCTGTCCTGCTAAACTGCGTCTAGAGGCTGAATGATTCACCAGTGGTCTAAAAGATGTACTCTTCCAGCCTTTGTTCTTGACTGACCGATTGCTCAATCCATTGATTGATTCATCCATCCATTTGTCCATTCACCCAGGCCGTCAGCCACTGACAGACTAAGGCAGTGGATGTTTATCAAGAACTTCACTTGTGTGAAACCCTGTTCTGGATGCCTGTAATTGATTTAGAAACCTGGAACATAAACGTACAAAGAAGTTTGATGTTTCCATGGTTGGAGAAGTATTATTGCAATGATTTTAAAATGAAATCTGATATCCGTTCCTTGTGATCAGTCAGCCTGTGCTGATTGTGGGGCTGATGGGTGTCAGGGGTCAGAGGGAAGCCATTCCTGACAGTGAAGAATGAGATAGCCTCCCTCTTAGTCTTTTTCACATTACCATCTCAGTTCATTCTCACAACCATTGAAGACTCAGGGGCATTACTCTAATACCCTTTTTATTTGAAGAAACCATCTCAGGGACCTTGGAAATACTCTTATCCAGTGACTTTTAACAGTTTTTTTGACCATGACCCACAGTAAGAGGTATAATTTCTTAGTGACTCAGTACATGCATGCATATATAAAGTAAGGGTTTTGAAATAAAATATCTACCTGATCAAGGACAATGCTCTCAAACATTTACTATTCTATTTCATGTTTATTGTTGTTGTATGAAATAGGCTACGTTTTAGGGTGGTTTTAGAGTCACAGCAAAATTAAGAGGAAGGTACAGATTTTCGTGTGCTCCCTGCCCCCTCCCCCCTACCACAGCATCCCCCACCCACCCACCTTCCAACTCCCACACCCCAGTGGCAGCTTTGTTACAGCTGCTGAACCTACACTGACACATCGCTATCCCCCAGCATCCATTGTTTACATGAAGGTTCACTGTTCGCTGTTGCACACTCTGTGGATTTGGACTAATGGATACTGTAATGCCACCGTTATAGGGTCAGGCAGAAGAGTTTCACTGCCCCAAAAAGTCTCTGTGCTTTGCCTCTTCATCCTTCTCTTCTCCCCTAACCTCTTGCAATTGCTGATTTTTTAAAATTGTCTCCATAGTTGTGTCATTTCCAAAATGTCACCTAGTTGGCATCATACAGCCTTTTCAATTTAGGTTCTTTCACTTAGTATTTTGCATTTAGTTTCCTTTATGTCTCTTCTTGGCTTAATAGCCCATTTTTTAAGTGCTGAATAATATTGCATTGCCTGGAAGTTTCAGGGTTTGCCCATTTACCTACTGAAGGGCACCTTGGCTGCTTCCAAGTTTTGACAGTTACAAATAAAGATGCTATAAACATGTGCATGCAGGTTTTTGCGTGCATGTCATCTTTCAGCTACTTTCGGTAAACACCAAGAAGCACGATTGCTAGATCACATGGTAAGAGTGTGTTTAGTTTTGTAAGAAATTGCCAAATTGGCCTTGCAGATAGCTGCATCATTTTCCATTCCCACGAGCAGTGAGTATCTGTTGCTCCATTTTCTCGCCTGCATTAGTGCTGTTAGTGTCTGGGATCTTGGTCATTCTAATAGGTCATAGTGGTATCTCACTGTTGTTTCCATTAGCAATCCTCTAATAGCAAATTTTAATTTTTCAAATTTTTCCGTTTGAATATCTTCTTTGGTGAAGTATATGTTCAGATATTTTGCCCATTTAAAGAAGTTATCTGATTTTTATTTTTGAGTAGCAAGAATTTTCTGTATATTTTGAATAACAGTTCTTTGTCAGAAACTTGGCAGTCACTGGGCCTGAGGCTCCCAATTACTGGTACAGAGTGAGGTGTTCACCTGCCAGGTGGGACCAGAGCTCAACAGTGTGAGCTGGGCAGAAAACCAACCCAAACGTGTTACATCAAAATAATGGCCTTTGATTCTGAGAATGAAGTCTCTTTAATTTTTGGAGTTTAAAATGACTCATATTGTAAGAAATAATAGAGAAAAAGAATGTGGTATGTGTGTGTGGTGGGGGGTAATATTTACTTGTTTATTTTGTATATTCTTACTTGACAAAATAAGGATCTGGCTCACCTACCTTATATAGTTCCCAATAATTATTATTTTTTAAGTAGCATTTCATAATTCCCACACCTGGGATATCTGGTGTAATCCAAATCCTTATTCCCACCCCTCCCCCACTCCACAAATGGGAAAAATGAGGTTCAGAAAGAAAGAGTAATTTTCCCAAAATTGTAAGTGTGGAGCCCAGTATTTGTATACAAGGGCTCATCTAACTTCTCTGGTGAGTCCCTGATATGCCTGATGGTAAAAATTCATGGGGGAGGTTTGCTTCTAACAGTATAGATCCTAAGGAACTGCTCCAGAACCACTGAATCAGGGTCTCTGGGGGATGGTATGGAATAATCAGTGTTTGAACTCTCCCCAGCAGATTTTAGAAATCTCTGCCCTCCCTGCAGTTCCTTTGCTGTCTCCCTCCCAGCCTAAGTACCAGGAAGTTCTCCTACTGCTCAGTTTTTCAGAGTCCCCTCTTTTCACCCCAAACCTTAGGGCTCAGAGTTTAGGTAAACCCAGAACTTGGCAAGACTTAGATGTCCCCACAGATTTTAAGATCTTCAAAGATGGGATGTTTCATCCTCACTGCTGTGAGCTTGGAAAGATGCTGTCCTGGGTTGGGAGGAGAGATAATGCATTCAAGTGGTCCAGAGAGTTGAGCTGAAACCTGCAGTGACCAGCACTTTCCAGCCAGCCCTTCCGACTTGCTTTCTGCCAACTGCTACAGTCTGAGGGTCTACTCTGCAAACCCCTTATTTCTTAGAACGCAATGGGAAGGTGCAGAAAGAGTTGATTCTGTGTTCAGAGAAACTTAGCACCCAGTACAGTAGATGCTCAATAAATACACAGCAGATATTCAATAAGTAATGGGTGAGACCAGGGTTTTCCCAAAGACCTCCAGGGTGTGTTTTAGAATACTTGGGCCCACATGGGGTTTCTCCTATATGGAGTGGGTCATACAAGCTCACTCTTCTTCCAGCTGGAGGAAGGTGAATGAGCAGAATCCTGACAAATTGGCCTTGGCTCAGGGATCACTTTGTCCTCTGCACAGGGCAGCTGTGAGCTTTCTTGTTGGGGGTAGGTTGGAGACCCTCTGATGAGCAGCTCTGGCTTCTGTGGGCTAGGACTTGGAAGAACGTCCCCAGCTTGAGTGCAGCCAGGATGCAGTGCAGGGTGACCCCTGTTCATTTGTCAGTTCACCACCCTCTGGCCTAAGGACTGCCCAGCTGCTGGGCTTTAGTGTGGCAGCCCATCCCCTTGCTGCCCAATGCACTCCAGCTGCTCAAAACTGGAGACTTCAAAGAAATAATCAAGCAACCTCAGTTTCCTCCTCCATTAAATAAAATCGACAACATTAACTCACAGGATTTGGGTGAGGATTAAATTTTTAAAGAGTAGGGCAAACTAAACCATTCTTCCCGAGTCTCTTTGCCATCCTTAAAGAACAATTGGGTCAACTTTGCTCATTTGTTTACTTTAATTTAGGGAAAGGAGCCCTTCTTTTTAAACCAATGGATGCTTACATATGTTTCAAAGCATGTTTCCTTAAGCTTTATCATTTATTCCTTGCAACACAACTGTGATGGGCCAGACATAGCTCTATTCATTAGGAAACTGCGTCAGAGAGGTGAGGCAATTTGCCAAAAGCCATGCACAGCACTCCTGTCTCCCACTCCCTGGAGAACGTCCCCACCTCCCTGCACTGTAACACATGACACAGAAGCACGCTCTGAGCCAGCAGACAGCAGCCTCACTCTGGGTTGCCTTTGTCTGTGTCCCACCTGGACCCACCCGGCGAGGTGCAGAGGGCTGCCTCCAAACCTGTGTTTTTTAGAAATGTTCTCCAGGACAAAGGAGAAACTGTTTGTTAAATCATTAAAAGCCGGGAGCATGTATTTCTGGCTGCATCTTTGACGTGGTTGGGGAGATGCTATTTTAGGGGAATGATTTTGTTTCTCTTCCTTCTCTTTTCTTACCAATTGTGAACAGTTGTCTTCAGGTTGCTTTGATGGTGCTATTTTGTGAAGCCAGGGTTATGAGGGTACTGTATGTGGTTGAAGATAGTGGATTATTTGTGAGGCTGGCCTGAAGGCTCACTTGGGAAGAGAGGGAACGTGGGGTAAGCGATGTATCTGTTCTCCAGATACTTGAGGCCTGAAAAGGCACATAAAATGAAGTAATACCAGACACAGACATTTCCAGACCAACTAATTCCCCATTTCTACAACCATTCCTCCTAAGGCATTCTTGGCTATTGTCTTCAATACTTACAATCCTGATGTTTGGGAAAGAAGGAGTGAGAATGAGGAAGGCTAGCCTTGTTCTGAGAGGTGTCCTTGGCTAAGAGGCCTCACCCTGACAACTTGACCTTTGGCTGCGTAATTAGCCAGGATCTTTTGTGTGCGGTAGGACAAGCTGTTGCCATGGAGACATTTGCGAGGTTGTTTGGCCTGGTCTCACCTTGGTTCCCTTCTGGAACGCCCCCTATTGTCAGTGAAGAATAGAGAAGTTGGCAGGGATGACAGAGCTCCCTGCCACTCAGAGCGGGGCTATTCTCCATGGTCGGAGTGGGTGGGGCACAGTGGGCAAAGGACAGTCCTTCACTCTCAGCAAACACGGGCCAGGTGCTGGGGATCCCACAGTGAACAG